ATATAAATTTTAAGATTATCCTGTCAGTTTCTGCAGAAAAGCCAGCTGAAGGTTTGATAGGGATTCTGTTGAATCTGTAGCTTCATTTAAGGACTCCTAAAAATATTAAGTCTTCTGGTCCATGAACATGGAATGTCTTTTCATTTATGTATATCTTTAAATTCTTTCAATGTTTTGTAGGTTTCAGAATACAAGTTTTGCCCTTTTTTTTTTTAAATAGACTTTATTTTTTAGGGCAGTGATAGGTTTTCAGAAAAATGGAGTAGAAAGTATGAAGAGTTCTTACATACTCCCTCCCCACCCCTCAACGCTATGGACAGTTTTTTCTACTAACATCATGTATGAGTGTGGTACATTTGATGAAGCAATATTGATACATTATTATTGATTAAAATTCTTTGTTTACATTAGGATTCACTTTAATGTGTTTTATAGTTCTGTAGGTTTTAAAAAGTGTATAATGTTATATATCCATCATTATGGTGTCATATAGAATAGTTTCACTGTCCCAAAAATCCCCTGTGCTTCGTTTGTGTCTTTCTCTCTCTCTCTTTCTCCGCCAGCGCCCCCGCCACCAAAATCCCTGGGAACCATTGATCTCTTGATTGTCTTTATAGTTCTACTCTTTCTAGAAAGTCATATAGTTGGAATTATAGTATAGGTAGCCTTTTCAGACTGGCTCCTTCCACTTAACGGTAAGGTTCTCTTCTTCTGGCACAGTACCTCATTTATTTATGGTTCTGAATGATATTTCATTGTATATGTGTGCCATGATTTGTTCATTCATCCACAGGAGGTCATTTTGGTGACTTCCAAGTTTTAGCAATTATGAATAAGGTTACTGTAGACATTCATGTGCAGGGTTTTTTGTTTGTTTTAAATAGAGAGTCTCATTCTTTCGTTCATGCTGGAGTGCAGTGGCACGATCCTGGCTCACTGCAGCCCTGACTCCTGGACTCAAGCAATACTCCCACCTCATCCTCCATAGTAGCTGGGACTACAGGTGCATGCAACCATGGCTGGATAATTTTTTGTTGTTGTTGTTGTAAAGACCAGGTTTCACTGTGTTGCCCATCCTGGTCTGGAACTCCTGGGATCAAGTGATCCTCCTGCCTTAGCCTCCCAAAGTGCAGGGATTACAGGTGAGCTACCACGCCCAACCAGGCTTCTATGAAGACATAAGTTTTCAACTAATTTGGCTAGATTGTATAATGAGACTAATTTTAGCTTTGTGGGAAAGTGCCAAATTATCTTTCAAAGTAGCTGTACTGCTTTGCATTCCTACCACCAGTGAATGAGAGCTTCTGTTGTTCCACATCCTTGGCAGCATTCAGAGTTGTCAATATTTTAGATTTTAACCATTCTATAGTTGGGCAGCAGTATCTTAATTGTTTTAATTTGCAGTTCCTTAATGACATATGGGAAGCATCTTTTCATATGCTTATTACCATCTATATATCTTTTTTTTTCCCCCCCCTTAGAGACAGTGTCTCACTCTGTTGCCTAGGCTGGGCTCAAACAGCTCTCCTGCCTTATTCTCCCTGGTAGCTGTAACTACAGGTGCATGCCACCGTGTCTGGCTAATTTTTTTTTTTTTTTTTTTAAAGACAGGGTCTCACTATATTGCCCAGGGTGGTCTTGTAACTCCTGGGCTCAAGTGATCCCCCTGCCTCAGCCTCCCCAAGTGCTGAAATTACAGGCCACTGTGCCCAACCTCAATCTATGTCTTTGCTCACTTTCTTATTTTAAATTTATTGTGAATTATTTTACTATTTTTGAAGCTCTGGTAAATAGAATTATTTTCTTAATTTCATTTTCTTTTTTCACTTCTTTGACATGCTGCTTTGAGATGAGATTAATTTTATTTTCAGATTGTTCATTGCAAATGGATAAAATACATTGATTTTGTATAGTGATCTTGGATTCTTTGACTTTGACGAACTCATTTGTTATCTAAGGCCTATCTTCTGCAAAAAGCGATAGTTTTGCTTCTTCCTTTCCCATCTGGACTCCTTTTATTTGTTTCTCTTGCCTAATTGCTTTGGCTAGAACTTCTAGTACAGTGTTTAATAGAAGTGACAAGAATGGATATCCTTGTCTAGTTCCTCATCTTAGGGGGATAGCATCTAGCCTTTCACCATGGAGTATGATGTTAGTATGAGTTTTTCATAGAAGTCCTATAGCAAGTTGAGCAAGTTGGGGAAACTTTTAAGCATGTAAATGCTTGGACCCTACCATTACAGTTTCTGATTCACTGAGTCTGGGAAGAACCAGTACCTTTACTTGTACAAAGGTATATAAGGAAATAAAAGGTATAAGGCCGGGCCTTGTGGTTCACGCTTGCAATCCCGGCAACCTGGGAGGCCAAGACGGGCGGCGGATCACCTGCGGTCAGTAGTTCAAGACCAGCCTGACCAACATGGTGAAAACCTGTCTTTATAAAAATAAAAAAAAAATTTTTTTAAAAAGAAAAGAAAAAGTATATAAGATATTCTGATCCACAGGGTTGAAAATACCTGCTGTATCATGGTTGAAGTATCTTATACTTCATTCTTTTAAAATCTGTGCTACCACTCTCACTCTTCTCCCTCAACTGAGCACCTTGGACTTAATATTATCAGGTTTCTAATGCTAAGCTAATTCTTTCAGACACCAAACCATGAAAAAATGGGTTGTATTGCATAGGTTAATTTCCTTTTATATACTGGGTCCAATTAGGATATGGTATTAAGATTTATTTTCACCTATTAGTAATGTAAATTACTTGATGATCCCACTTATGGCTAATTTTCTTCCTTCTAGCAGAGGTGGTACTCAGAGCATAATATGATTTTCCTTTTTTAAAAATTTCAATAGGTTTTTTGGGAACAGGTGGTGTTTGGTTGCATGAATAAGTTATTTGGTGTTGATTTTGGTGCACCCATCACCCGAGCAGTTTACATTGTATGCAATGTGTAGTCTTTTAGCCCTCATTCCCCCCACCCTTTCCCCCAAGTCCTCCAAGTCCATTGTATCATTTTTATGCCTTTTTGTCCTTAGCGCTTAGCTCCCACTTACGAGTGTGAATATACAATGTTTGGTTTTCCATTCCTCAGTTACGTCACTTAGAATAATGCTCTCCAGGCCAGGAGTGGTGGCTCACACCTGTAATCCCAGCACTTTGGGAGGCTGAGGCGGGTGGATGGATCACCTGAGGTTGGGAGTTCCAGACCAGCCTGAACAACATGGAGATACCCCAGCTCTATTAAAAATACAAAATTAGCCAGGCATGGTGGCACATGCCTCTAATCCCAGCTATTCAGGAGGCTGAGGCAGGAGAATCACTTGAACCCGGGAGGCAGAAGCTGTGGTGAGCTGATAGTGTACCATTGCTCTCCAGCCTGAGCAACAAGAGCTAAACTCCATCTCAAAAAAAAAAAAAAAATAATAATAATAATGGTCTCCAATTCCATCTAGGTTGCGTTAAATGCCATTATTTTGTTCCTTTTTGTGGTGAGTAGTATTCCGTGGTAGATAATATATCACATTTTCTTTACCCACACATTGATTAATGGGCACTTGGGCTGGTTCCATATTTTTGCAGTTGTGAATTGTGCTGCTACAAACATGTGTGTGCAAGTACCTTTTTCATATAATGACTTCTTTTCCTCTGGCTAGATACCCAGGATTGGGATTGCTGGATCAAATGGTGGATCTACTTTTAGTTCCTTAAGGATTCTCCACACTGTTTTCCACAGTGGCTGTACAAGTTTACATTCCCCCCAACAGTGTAAAAGTGTTTCTGTTTCACCATATTCACACCAACATCTGTTTTTTGGTTTTTTTATTATGGCCATTCTTACTGGAGTAGGAGGGAATCACATTGTGGTTTTGATTTGTATTTCCCTGATAATTAGTGATGTTGAACATTTTTTCATATACTTGTTGGCCATTTGTATATCTTCTTATAAGAATTGTCTATTTATGTCCTTAGCCCACTTTTTGATGGGGTTGTTTTTTACTTGCCGATTGAGTTCCTTGTAGATTCTAGGTATTAGTCCTTTGTTGGATGCATAGATTGCGAAGATTTTCTCCCACTCTGTGGGCTGTCTGTTTACTCTTCTGATTATTTCTTGCTGTGCAAAAGCTTTTTAGTTTAGTTTAGTCCCATCTAATAATCTTTGTTTTTGTTGCGTTTGTTTTTGGGTTCTTGGTTATGAAGTCTTTGCCTAAACCAATGTCTAGAAGGGTTTTTCCAATGTTATCTTCTAGAATTTTTATGGTTTCAGGTCCTAGATTTAAGTCTTTGATTCACCTTGAGTTGATTTTTTTTTTTTGAAATGGAGTTTCGCTCTTGTTACCCAGGCTGGAGTGCAGTGGCACGATCTCGGCTCACCGCAACCTCTGCCTCCTGGGTTCAAGCAATTCTCCCGCCTCAGCCTCTTGAGTAGCTGGGATTACAGGCATGCACCACCATGCCCAGCTAATTTTTTGTATTTTTAGTAGAGACTGGGTTTCACCATGTTGACCAGGATGGTCTCGATCTCTTGACCTTGTGATCCACCCGCCTGGGCCTCCCAAAGTGCTGGGATTACAGGCTTGAGCCACTGCGCCCGGCCGAGTTGATTTTTGTATAAGGCGAGAGAGGGGGATCCAGTTTTATTCTTCTACATGTGGTTAGCCAATTATCCCAGCAGCATTTGTTGAATAGGGTATCTTTCCCCACTGTATGTGTATGTTTTTGTTTGCATTGTCAAAGATCAGTTGACTGTAAGTATTTGGCTTTATTTCTGGGTTCTCTATTCTGTTCTATTGGTCTATATGCCTGTTTTTATACCAGTATCAAGCTGTTTTGGTGACTATGGCCTTAGAGTATAGTTTGAGGTCAGGTAATGTAATGCCTCCCGATTTGCAGAACATAATTACTGATAGCCCTTGTAAATTATTTTTAGCTTCTTTTATTACTCTTACTGATTTTTAAATTTTGACTTGTATAAATAATAGTAATTTTGCTTCTTTAGGACACCATGTAAAATTGAACCTAGTATAAACCACGTCCTAAGCACAAGAAAGCCTGGAAAGGAAGAAGGAGATCCTCTGCAAAGGGTTCAGAGCCATCAGCAAGCATCTGAGGAGAAGAAAGAGAAAATGATGTATTGTAAGGAGAAGATTTATGCAGGAGTAGGGGAATTCTCCTTTGAAGAAATCCGGGCTGAAGTTTTCCGGAAGAAATTAAAAGAGAAAAGGGAAGGTATGTGTAATTCAAGTTTGTGGAAAAGACTTAACCTAGTTGTGGGAAAATTGAGCTGATCTATTAAGTCTAAGGAAAACTAACCTTATAGTTTGCACCTTTATATGATATGTCTATGGTTGTACAGTTTCTTTTTGTGTATCAGTCTAACTCCTATTGCTGCCTTCTATGAAAATTCCTTGGGGTGTGGGGGCACTGAGTATGTTTAGAAGTAAAGGAAGAAGTTCTGAACAACTTAGATTCACCAGTACCCTAAGCAGGCAGCTATGATCCCTGACATGTATATATATGCATTCCATGCATCCCCATTAACTACTTTTTCTAATGTTGTTGCTTGAAATATTTCACTTTACCTTTGATACTTTGCCTGAAATTTCTCCAAGGGCTTATTTAGATTAAGATGCTTGGTCACACTGCAATGTTTTAGATCACAGATATTCATAATTGTTACTTGAAGACATTATATTTCTAAATTAAAGGAAAAGGTTTACTAAAAATTGAGCTATGGAGGATTTTTGGGAAATAGAAAGCAGCTCTGATTCTGGATCTTGGAGTACTTGGCGGCAAGAGACAGGGCAGAATGGGCTGGAAAGTAGGGAAGTAAGTCATATGGGGCTTAACACATGAGAAGGTGAAGGAGAATAAAGAAGGGTACAGAAAATGAGGTAAGGGGAGTGTCCACTTCTTCAATTTAGACATTTTTATTAGGACATATAAGATCAAAGTAATGTTTCTTTTATACATGGATATCCAGAATAACCTACTGATATAGCTCAGCTCTCTTAATAGCATGTGGTGTTTGTGGGGTTAGCTAGGAAACTTAACTGTCACTTATACTTTGAGGAGCAATGTTTTCTGAGTTCTAGGTGACAAGCTGGAAGCAAACTTTGGTAAAGCCGACTGTTAGTAAAGTTTGGAATTGCCATCATTGTTACGCTAAGTAGTGTCATCCAAGATTGTGAGAAGTGCTCTGGGTTCAAATAATATATTGAAAATGGAACTTGTATGTTTAGGTAGGGAGAGGGATGGTTGCAAAGCAGACAAATAGGCTAGGAGGGTGGCCAAATATGAACTAGAAAAGGAACTAGGTATCGAGATAAAAACTGTTTCCAAAGGGAAAAATCTAGTCTGTACCAGGTATATAGAAGGAAAATGAAAGTCCATTGTAAGGTGGGCACAGTGGCTCATGCCTATAATCCCAGCATTTTGGGAGGCCAAGATGGGTGGATCACTTGAGCCCAGGAGTTTGAGACCAGCCTGGGCAACATGGTGAGTCCCCATCTTTATGAGAAAAAGAAAAAGTACATTTTGTTTTCAGCTAGCCAAAGAAGGACCTATTCTAGATTAGATGGGATTTAAGTAGGCATAAGGAGACATTGACCTCTGATAATTTTTTAATACTCATTTTTATTGTGTTTTTTATTTTAGTTTTTTAAAAATAGAGAGTCGGAGTCTCCCTGTGTTGCCCAGGCTGGTCTCAAACGCCTGGGCTCAAGCTATCCTCCCACCTTGGCCTTTCAAAATGCTGGGATTGTAGGCGTAAACCACCATGCCAGACTTTAATACTCATTTCTGAGCTGGTCTCTGAATCTGTTTCATGAACTTGTATGAATTCCCATCTGTGTAAAAGTTTGTACCCTTATATAAGTCCTCATTTCAATAAATGCGGTTTTTAGTTACTGTCAAAAACTGGCTTCAAAGACTTGATATCTTACTCTCAGGGAAGAATATAAGAGGATGCCACAATCAGGGCCTACACAAAGGTTGTTCTTTCTTTGCATTGGATTTCCAAGTCGTTTTTTCCATCTTCTTTCAAAAACTCTGGCTTCTTTCAGATTTCTGTCCTCTAATTCTTTTTTTTAATCTCCTGAGCCGCCTTAATAGACTCACCTCACACTTTTCAGTCATACCCCATAATTTATTAATTGACTAATAAGCACATGGCTCACTATCAGCACCTCTTTACCCTATCCAGCAAAACCCTGCATGGCCAAGCATAGGGGCATGTGCCTTTAGTCTCAGCTACTTAGGAAGGTGGGGCAGGAGGATTGCTTGAGCCCAGAAGTTTGTGACCAGCTGGGGCAATATTAGCAAGAACTCATGTCCAAAAACAAACAAAACTCCACATGGCTTAGCCTCTGCCTATCTCTCCAACCCCATCTTTTCCTATTCACCCTCTTACTGTGTCATAACCACACTGAACTTCTTTTGGATTCTTAGACATGGTGGTCTTTTCCTGCTTTAGGGCCTTTGTGCCATCTAGTTTGTTGGCTTAGAGCCTTTCTCCAGAATTTTGGCCCCTTATCATTTAGGTTACAGGTTAATAATGTCACTTTATCAGAATGATCTTCCCTGATCACTGGTCTTTAGTAGCCCTCCCTTGACCTCCATCTTCCTACCCAGTCACACATTCTCACATCACATATTTTATTTTTTTTCTAAATGCTGATTTTCTTGTGTGTGTGTTTTCCTAAAATTTGAATGTTAACATCACATAACCAAGGACTTTGTATTATGTACCACTGAAACCTAAGTACTTAGAGTTGTGCTTGGCACACAGTAGGTATTCAGTTTTTTTTTTTCTTTTAGTAGAAACCTGTGTTGTTCAAAGGTATTGTATTTTTTTATTGACTGGATAAATAAAAGAATAGAGGTGTGGACCCCAAGTTGAGGACCTTGTTCCACTTATTTTCATCTGTATTAGTAACATATATGTTGAGGATATGAGTTCCAAAGGCAGTTTTTGTCAGAATGAGTTACTATGAGGAGTAATACCTCAAGCCCCTTTACTGTTTCTAGCCGAGCTATTGACCAGTGCAGAGAAGAGAGCAGAAATGCAGAAACAGATTGAAGAGATGGAGAAGAAGCTAAAAGAAATCCAAACTACTCAGCAAGAAAGAACAAGTGATCAGGTAATTTTTCTCTTTCTTTTTTTTTTGAGATGGAGTCTTGCTCTGTCACCAGGCTGGTGTGCAGTGGCATGATCTCGGCTCACTGCAACCTCTGCCTTTCAGGTTCAAGTGATTCCCCTGCCTCAGCCTCCCAAGTAGCTGGGACTACAGGTGCCCACCACTACACCCAGCTAATTTTTGTACTTTTAGTAGAGACAGGGTTTCACAATGTTAGTCAGGATGGAATTTTTCTTTTTTCAATACACAAAACAAACGTTTATTGAAACGAACTCAAACATTATAAAAATACAGAAGGTTAAAGTCCTCCCAACCCCCATTTAGAGTTTCTGCTAGTTTGTTAGCTGTTAGTAGCAGGAAAATTGAATGGGAAAGTAATTTAACAGGTGACTTAAACTGGAATTTGTGGCATGTGAAATAAGTGGTATAGTCTATTGACTTCTTAGTTATACTCTAAACCGTTATTTGGTTAATTCTGGCTTCAGCTTTTTATTCTAGCTATGCTCCATTAAAATGGGGTTGCCTAAAAAAATTTAGCATACGCCTGGCACTCTTCAGTTGAGTACGATAGTACCGGTTTGTAGTAGGAACATAAATTATTGGAAATGACTTTTGTGGCATAGTCATTTATATGGTTAGTGGATGTCTCGGAGAAGAGTACAGTAAAGCTAATGTTAGGGCTTGAAAACAGCATTTTCTGGATGGGAGGGATATTGATTTTGTTTATTTAATGCAAACAGCAAGAAGAGAAGATGCCTACAAAGGAGACAGCTAAACTGCGAATTGCTTCTGAGTCCCAGGAAATACCAGGAATGACTCTATCCAGTTCTGTTTGTCGAGTAAACTCTTGTGCCAGGTAAGATCACATTGGTGGAAGGGACAATGCATATAGGAGGGCATTTAGAACCAACCTTTGACTCTCGTGTCCTGAAGTCTCTGACTTTTACAGTATTGAGACATGGTTTTGTAAGTCTCTATCATAACATAAGCTTTGGTGCTGATGAGGGAGGACAGAACATTGACTATTTCCCATTGAGGAAACATGTTTCTTATAGAAAGAAATATATATAATATTTCTAAAAAACAAAACCACCCATTTCTACCACTAAGAGATGACTACTGTTAACATTGTTCTGTCTCTCCTTTTGTGTTGTATTTTGTTTTGTTTTATAAAAATGGTAGCTTACCGTTTTGTAATCTGCTTATAGTATTAATGCAACCTGAATCTATTATCAAATATATTTCTGCAACAGTTTTGATAACCAAAGGTGCTATCTTTTTTAAGAGAATTTGGATTGACAGTAATAATTTATCTTAGAGTTAATATTATATTTAATGGAAAGCCTCTTGGACTTTTAAGAATTAAACAGTTCTTTCTGTGAGTATTGAGCACATATTTTAAAACAAGTTTCTTCACAGAGAAACTTCACTTTCGGAGAACATTTGGCAGGAGCAACCTCATTCTGAAGGTGAGTTGTGATTGACAGCCTCGGGAAGAACTTGCTGATAACAAATGGAACTTGCTCATAACAAATGGATTATGTAATAAAGGGTAAATATTTTTAAATTATGATAAAGGGATTGAAAGAAAGCAGAGAGGGGGACTAAGATACTAGGATGTCTTTGAATCATGGAATTTAGTATAAGCATATGCTTTAAGAAAAGAAAGACATTTCAAAGAGTATTTTTTAAAACTCCTCAGTGCTTCAAAATATTTGGTTGAATTATAATTTTAAATTTATAATTTAAATATAACTTAAATTTAAATATAACTACCAAATCTTACATTTTAATTACTGAACACTGAGCAGTGAAGACACTGAGGAAAGTGTTTTGTTTTTCAGGGAAAAAAAGTTTAAAGCTATTTTATATTCAAATTGGTTTTCTTTTCTTTGGAACATGTTAAAAGTGGTGAAACATGAATATCCACTTGTAAGTAGTTTTGCAAAAATAAAAATAAAAAACATTAAAATTAAACCTTTATTTCTAACCGACACTTTGTTGGAAATACAAAGTATGGAGGAACGTTGTTAAACAACACGGGGGGATGGAATTGGTAAAATACGGCATTAATGAGGCTAGCAACCCAGTTTGTTCAACAAAAATTTCCCCCCAAATTCTATAGAATAAAAGAGATTGAAGAGGCATTTGAACTGTCACAGTATGCGGATCTTAACTCTGCATTCCGAATTCAAAAAAAAAATTTTTTTTAATTGGTAAAACGTGAAACTTCTGATTGGATATTTGATATTTATAAATTGTTCATTTTATAGGTAGGTATGTTTTGGGATTGGGATTTTTAAATAGCCTCTTTTAGAAATATGTACTGAAATAGTTGCAGATGAAATGACATGTCTGGAATTTGCTTTAAATAATCCTGTTGGGTTGGGTTTGGGCAGTAGTGACTGTGGTAGAGAATCTAAATCAAACAAGATCGTCTATGTTTGGATAATTATTAAAATGTTTAATGATCTTTTATATGTTTGAAGTTTTTTGTGATTAGAAAAAAAACAGATTGCCTTCCTTCTTTCAAACAACACAATATATTAATTTATCTAATTGTCTTGAAAAGTAAAGCATTTACTCCTAGAGTATATATCTGGTCTCTCTCTCTCTCTAGGTCCCAATATATCTTTCTCCATTTTTGATGAGTTTCTTCTTTCAGAAAAGAAGAATAAAAGGTTTGTCTGGTTTTTTAGTTTGTTTGTTTTTTTACTTAATAATTTTCTGTTGTTATAAGTGAGGATAAATTAGGGGTTACTGTTATGAAAAAAACTGAAGTATGTCTTTTTCCAGTCCTCCTGCAGATCCTCCACAGGTTTTAGCTCAACGAAGACCCCTTGCAGTTCTCAAAACCTCAGAAAGCATCACTTCAAATGAAGATGTGTCTCCAGATGTTTGCGTAAGAGGGAGTATCCTTAAGTTAATGTAAACGGGCTAGTGGATTGTTTATTCAAATCCACAAAAGCTTAAGGTTAAAATTGAAACCACTGACTTGAATTAAGCACATGAAAAGATGCTCAGCATTATTACTCACCAGGGAATGCAAATCAAAACCACAGTGAGACGCTACTTTATATCCACTAGGATAGCTATAATAAAAAATTATGGGCAATAACAAGCGTTGACAAAGATGTGGAGAGATTAGAACACACGGTAAGGTGGGAATGTAAAATGGTGTAGCCACTTTGGAAAACAGTTTGGCAGCTCCTCAAAATGTTAAACACAGTTAACCATATGATCCTGCAGTTCTCTGCCTAGGTATATACTCAATATATTGAAAGCACATGTTCACACGAAAAACTTGTACACAAATATTCATAGCTGCATTACTCATGATACTGTAAACAACCCCAAATGTCCATCAACTGATGAATGGATAAACAAAATATTGTGTATCCATACAATGAAATATTATTTGGCAATATAAAGGAATGAAGTACTAATACATGTCATGCCATGGATGAACATTGAAAATGTTATTTCAAGTAAATGAAGCCAGATACAAAGACCACATATTATATGATTTCATTTTCATGAAATATCCACAATAGGCAAAGGTATTATGGATTGAGGTTTTCCAGGGATAGGGTGGTGGAGAGTGACTGCTAATAGGTATAGGGTTTCTTTTTGGAGTGATGAAAGTATTCTGAAGTTAGATAGTGATGATGGTTGTATAACCTTGTTAATATACTAGAAACCACTGAAATATACTTTAAAAGAGTAAATTTTATCGTAATGAATTATATCTCAGTTTTTATAAGTAGGAAAAAAATCACTAACTTGAAAGCATTTTGCACTTATCTAACCAACATAGTAAAGGACATTTGTTCTTTTTTATATAAAATACCTTTTGTGCAATGCAAAAGTTATGTGGGCCAATCACTTCTCTTCAGTAATGTTATATATTAACTGCTGTAGACTAGTGACATAATACTTAGGGTAAAAAGACCCTGTGTAGGACAGGCATAGTGGCTCTTGCCTGTAATCCCAGCACTTTGGGAGGCAGAAGTGGGCAGATCATGAGGTCGAGAGATCGAGACCATCCTGGCCAACATGGTGAAACCCTGTCTCTACTAAAAAATACAAAATTTAGCTGGGCCTGGTGGCATGTGCCTGTAGTCCCAGTTACTCAGAAGGCAGAGGCAGGAGAATCACTTGAACCCGGGAGAGGCTGAGGTTGCATTGAGCTGAGATGCGCCATTGCACTCCAGCTTGGTGACAGACTGAGACTCCGTCCCAAAAAAAAAGAGCCTGTGTAGACATTTAAGTTAAAATAAATAACCTTTATCTTTGGCATTTTATTAAAGTTTTAAGGAATAAGAATCATTCTCTTCAAACCAGCATCTGGAACCTTGTCATGAGACTGAAAAGAATTGAAAATATTTAATCAGAAGACTTTTAAGGGGTGATGTGAGCAGTAGCTTTAGTGACTTAAAGCATTGTTTTCCACATCCCTGGGAATGAATCATTTGGAGGAAGTTTAAAAACACTTATTCTTTTTAGTTTCTTCTCTATTGAGGTATATTTTATATCTAGTAAACCACACAAATACTGTACAGATAGATGAATTTTTACATGTGTGAATATCCATGGAATTTTTTCCCATATCAAGATAATAATAGAATATTTCCGTCAACTCAGAAGAGACTAGGGAGTCTTTTGTGTCTAACAGTGCTTAAGCCCCTTTCCATCTATGTGGCACTGGAATTTCCAGGGAAAAGGTCCAAGCATGTATTTTTGTCTTTTTAAAAATACTCTCCCAGCTAATTCTGATACAGTTAGTCCACTGACTGCTATGAAAAGACAGTGATGTAAAAGAGTAATTAATTACATACTGTGTTCTGGAGTATACCGCCAGAGAACATGATGAACAGGCTAGATTTGGATGCAGTGGTTCTAGATTCAGCTGTTCAAGGATACACTTAATTGTTAAAGGAGTCTAACTTCATCTACCTTTCTTTTTTCTTTTTTTAACAATCTTTTACTTGAATTTTGTTAATAGGTTCCTATCAGAATTTTCATCTCCTAAAAAAATTGTATTTAAAATGTCTAGGCTAATAGGGCCATAAGTAGTATTTGCATAAAATGTAGAGACTATAACATCTATTTTACTTTAATCACTTATAATACATATGTATATATTTTCTTTCTTTCTTTTTCTGACTGGGTCTCTGTCACCTGGGCTAGAGTACAGTGGCATGATGTCCTCTCACTGCTGCCTCTGCCACCTGGGCTCAAGCAATCCTTCCACCTCAGCATCCCAATTAGCTTGGACTATAGGTGTGAGCCACCATGCCTGGCTAATTTTTGTATTTTTTGTAGAGACAGGGTTTCTCCATGTTGCCCAGGCTAGTCTCAGACTCCTGTGCTAAGTGATCTTCCTGCCTCAGCCTGCCTCCCAAAGTGTTGGGATTACAGGTGTGAGCCAATGCACCTGGCCAAATCTTAATGATTTTTTTGTTTGTTTGAGATGGAGTTTCGCTCTTGTTGCCCAGGCTGGAATGAAGTGGCACGATCTCCACTCACTGCAGCCTCCAGCCCCTGGGTTCAAGTGATTCTCCTGCCTCAGCCTCCTGAGTAGCTGGGATTACAGGGGCCTGCCACCACACCCAGCTAATTTTTGTGTTTTTAGTAGATATGGGGTTTTGCCATGTTGGCCATGCTAGTCTCGAGTGCCTGACCTCAGGTAATCCACCAACCTCAGCCTCCCAAAGTGCTGGGATTACAGGCACCCACCACCACACTCAGCTAATCTTTGTGTTTTTAGTAGAGACAGGGTTTCGCCATGTTGGCCAGGCTAGTCTTGAGTGCCTGACCTCAGGTAATCCACTCACCTCAGCGTCTTAAAGTGCCGGGATAGGCATGACCCACCATGCCCAGCCTATAATTTTTTTCCAATTACACTGTGTTTCTTCTAGATGTACCTCCCACCTTTAGTTACTAAGTCAGAAATTAAAAGTATATGTCAAGTTGGTAATGATCTAGAAAATTAATATCTAGTATCCATATGGGTTAAATCAAATAGGTACTGTTTGTATACTACAGGTAAGTGTGAAAAGTGGTATAATCTCTCTGAGGACAGCTAAGTAATTATATATAAAGAACTTTAATGTTTATAACCTTTTGCCCTGATAATTCTTTATTTTTTTTATTTTTTTTTATTTTTATTTATTTATTTTTTTGGGGTGGGGAGGAAGGCAGGAAGGAAGGGAATAAGGACGGTAGGGAGGAAGGAAGGGATGAAGGAAGGAAGGAAGGAAGGGAGGAAGCGGGGAGGGAGGGAGGGAGGGAAGGGAAGAAAGGAAATCAAGCAATGAAAGAGACATTGCCGACCTGGATCTAGAGGTTTACAAGTTGATTTCTTTTTTTTTTTGAGAGAAGGAAAGAAAAAAAAAAAAGTAAAGGAGAGGAAGAAAGAGGAAGAGAAAGAGGGAGAGTAAATGGAAATATTGCTTTATTTTGAAAAAAATTGGGTATTAATAATGGCCAATCAATGTTTCATTTAAACTAATGGGTGGGTGTGATGTGGTATTGACAAGAATGTATATTTTGTGTATTTGAAGTGGAGAGCTCTATAAATATTTATTAAGTTTACTTGTTCTGGATCTGAGTTCAAGTCCTTGATATCCTTATTAATTTTCTGTCTCATTGAATCTAAGTCTCGTATCTGGGTGTTAGGATCGTTAGCTCTTGTTGTTGCATTAATCCTTTTACCACTATATCTTTGTTGCTTTAAAATCTATTTTATCCGATACAAGAATTGCAACTCCTGCTTTTTATTTATTTATTAATTATTTATTTTTGCTCTCCATTTGGTTGGTAAATCTTTCTCCATCCCTTTGTTTTGAGTCTTTGTGTATCCTTGCATGTGAAACAGGTCTGGATGTAACATGCCGTTGGGTTTTGGCTGTGTCTTTTGATTGGGAATTCAGTCAATTTAAATTTAGGGTTACTGCCATTTGATGTTGACTGGCTGTTTTATCCATTTGTTGGTGTAAATTCTTCTTTATGTTGGTGCTCTTTACTTTTTGGTGTATTTTTAGAAAGGCTAATACTGGTTGTTTCTTTCTGTGTGTAATGCTTCTTTCAGAAGCTCTTGTAAAGCAGGCCTGGTGGTAATAAAATCTCTGAGTTCTTGCTTGTTCATAAAAGAGTTTATTTTTCCTTCAGTTGTGAAGCTCAGTTTGGCTGGATATGAAATTCTGGGCTGAAGGTTCTGTTATTTGAGGATGTTGAATATTGGCCCCCACTCTCTTCTGGCCTGTAGAGTTTCTGCTGAGAGATCTGCTGTAAGTCTGATAGGCTTGCCTTTGTGGGTAATCTGACCTTTCTCTCTGGCTGCCCTTAGTATCCTCTACTTCGTTTCAACCCTGGTGAATCTAACGATTATGTGCCTTGGGGTTGCTCTTCTTGAGGAATATCTTTGTGGTGTTCTCTGTATTACCTGGGGTTGAATGTTGACCTGCTTTGCAAGTTTAGGAAAATTTTCCTGAATAATATCCTGAAGGGTATTTTCCAGCTTGGATTCATTCTCTCCGTCACATTCAGGTATACCTATCAAACGTAAATTTGGTCTTTTCACATAGTCCCACATTTCTTGGAGACTTTGCTCATTCCTCTTTATTCTTTTTTCTCTAATCTTTTCTTCACGTTTTATTTCATTAAGTTGGACTTTGACCTCTGATATCCCTTCTTCTGCTTGAACAATTCGAGTGTTTAAACCTGTGCATACTTCTCGGAGTTCCTGTATTGTATTCTTCAGTTCCATTAATTCACTCATACTCCTCTCTAAGTTGTCTATTCTCAATAGGATTTCATCAAACCTTTTTTCAAAGTTCCTAGTTTCTTTACGTTGGGCTACAACATGTTCTTTTAACTCACCAAAGTTTGTTATTATCCATTCCTTGAAGAGTGATTCTGTCATCAGGAGGCGCTCGTTCTCCATCAAGCCTTGTTCCATTGTTGATGTGGAACTGTGATCATCTTTAGAGGGAGAGGCGTTCTGATTTTGAGTATTCTCAGCTTTTTTACGCTGGTTTCTTCCCGTCATTGTAAATTTATCCTCCTGTCGTCTTTGAAATTACCAACTTTCAGATTAGGTCTCTTGAGTGGACGTCCAGGTTGTTAGTTCTCAGGGCCAGAGCAGCGGCGTTAAAACTGATGATGCTTTTCTGCCCAGGATTCTACTGTCGGGCTTCCTTCTTGTGTCCCTAGTAGGCGACTCTGCCTTCCTGGGGCTCCAAACCTCGGTCAGAAGGGGAACCGGTCCTGTTTACTCTGTGCCGAGCGCTGCCGCGTCCAGGTGCCAGCGGAACCGCTGCGCCGACCTCGAGAGTCGCCCTGGCGACTCGTGTGTTTCCACCACTGGGGGATCTTCTGCTCCGTGAGCGACCAGACTTTGTCTGAAAGTATGGCGTCCTCTAGTTCTCCGCGCCTTCCCTGAGAGCTGCAATCCCGGGATGTTAGCGATCGGCCATCTTGGATCGTTCTTCGATAATTCTACTTTTAATAATTAATCCTAAGAAATTATTTATAAAGATTTATATATAAGGATATTTAAAGTGGTTTTAAACTAGCAAAAAACAGAATAACCTAAAAGTTGGTTAATTTCTTATAGACACACAGCATGACCATTATGTTTTTAAAGAATTTTTAATAGCACAGAAAAAAATACAAAAAGTATGAGAAACAACAATACAGAGTATCATGAATGCTACAATTTCACTGCTTTTAAAACTCCTTTTTAAATGCGTAAAATATGCTATGCATGTATCCTACCAGACATACATGGCAACAGTGTTCACCTCTGGGGAACAGGAATGGGGTGGAGATGGGGGTTGCTTGTAGGAAGAATACACTTTTAAACTAGTCAACTTTTTGAAACCATGTATACCTATTACTTTTCAAGACAAAGGCGTGTTTTAAATATAGCAAAAAATTTAAGATTGGTTAGTAGCATTTCAGGTGTTTTTCCCCCTTTATACTTCATGTTTTCCGTATTTTCTGCCATAATCTTGAATTATCTTTAAGAAATAAATAAAAATTAGGTATGTAGCATAGAGAAAGAAGACGTAAAAACCAGGAGGATAGCACATTATCAGACTATTTACTAAGTGAAAGCCAGAGGAAAAATAGTATTTGTGCTTTAGTTCATAGGTTAAATTTGTTGAGGAACAAAACCATTGCCCAGTATTTTTCCTTGTGTGGAGAATCTTCATGGCACATTTTTTTGGATGAAGTATAGTTTACTGAGTTCATGATCCAAAAACCTTTTACCTCAAATGCTATAATGTGCTTCTTAAAATTATCTTTCCCTAGGTATTCTGACGTCCTACTTCTGTACCCTGTGTCACTGAGCTCATATGTCTCTCTCAGTGAAAAAGATAGGTTTACCGGGTGCGGTGGCTTAGCCTTTAATCCCTGCACTTTGGGAGGCCAAGGCAGGTGGATCACGAAATCAAGAGATTGAGACCATCCTGGCCATGGTGGAACTAATAATACAAAAATACTCTACTAAAAATACAAAAATTAGCCTAGTGTGGTAGCTTGCACCTGTGGTCCCAGCTACTCAGGAGGCTGAGGCTGAGGCTGAGGCAGAAGAATCGCTTGAACCCAAGAGGCAGAGGTTGCAGTGAGCCGAGATTGTGCCACTGCACTCCAGCCTGGCAACAGAGCAAGACTCCATCTCAAAATAATAATAATAATAAAATTTTTTAAAAAAAGATTCTTCATGTGTTGAAATATTTTAGCTAGTTGGGTGTGGTGGCTCATGCCTGTAATCCCAGCACTTTGGGAAGCTGAGGCAGGTGGATCACCTGAGGTTGGGAGTTCAAGACCAGCCTGACCAACCTGGTGAAACCCTGCCTCTACTAAAAATACAAAAATTAGCCAGGCGTAGAGGCAGGTGCCTGTAATCCCAGTTACTTGGTAGGCTAAGGCAGGAGAATTGCTTGAATCCAGGAAATGGAGGTTGCAGTGAGCTGAGATCGTGCCATTGCACTCCAGCTTGGGTGACAGAGTGAGACTCTGTCTCAAAAAAAAAATTTTTTTAAAGCTAAACTTGATATGGTTTTTATTTCAGGATGAATTTACAGGAATTGAACCCTTAAGTGAGGATGCCATTATCACAGGCTTCAGAAATGTAACAATTTGTCCTAATCCAGAAGACACTTGTGACTTTGCCAGAGCTGCTCATTTTGTATCTACTCCTTTTCATGAGATAATGTCCTTGAAGGATCTCCCTTCTGATCCTGAAAGACTGCTGGAGGAAGAGGATCTAGATGTAAAGACCTCTGAAGACCAGCAGACAGCTTGTGGCACTCTCTACAATCAGACTCTCAGCATCAAGAAACTGAGGTGATAAGGGATTTACAGGTCTTATAAACCAGATTGTTTGCTCACTCTTACTGTGTGTGCTTGTCAGTTACAGTAATCATTTATGAAGTTCTTACTGACTGCCAGGTACTGTGCTAAGTGCTTTACATGAAAGTAGGGCTGCCTCAGATAAAGTGTCAGTGGGATTTAGTGATTTGGACATGAGGGTTAAAAGTAAACTTTGATGGTGAATAAACTAGCAGTTCAAGAGGAGTATAGTACCATTGAGGAAAGTTGGCAAAGTATACATGATTAATAAAAAGGAGGCATTTAGTTTTTCTGTAACATTGAGTTTAAAATAGTGGTAGGATAAAATGTGTTAATTTTATTTATTTATTTATTGAGATGGAGTCTCACTCTGTTACCCAGGCTGGAGTGCAGTGGTGCAATCTTAGCTCACTGCAACCTCTGCCTCCCAGGTTCAAGCAATTCTCCTGTCTCAGCCTACAAAGTAGCAAGGATATAGGCACGTACCACTATGTCCGGCTTATTTTTATATTTTTAGTAGAGACGGTTTCACCATGTTGGCCAGGCCGGTCTCAAACTTCTGACCTCAGGTGATCCACTCGCCTCAACCTCTCAAAGTGCTGGGATTACAGGAGTGAGCGACTGTGCCCAGCCAGCTTATGTGAATTTTAAGTAGGCAACTAGAGATGTGTTTTTTTAAAAAGTATCTTTTGATACAGAGGTGAAAATGAATTATGGAATGGATGAGGGAATGGCTTACAGCCAGGGTCTGAGCTGTGTTTAAAGTCAGCTAATTTAAACTCATTCCAGTTTTAGAAATACTTTTTTTAATTTGTTGATTTTTGCTTTTAAAGTGACATTTTGAGAGGCCAGCTGCGTTGGCTCACATTTGTAATCCCGGCACTTTGGGAGGGTGAGCAAGGTGGATCACTTGAGACCAGGAATTTCAGACTAGCCTGGTCAACATGGTGAAACCCCATCTTTACAAAAAAAAAAAAAAATTTTTTTGAAACTTTTCCCTATCAGCTTTTAAGCACATTTGCTAGCATGTATTCACATTGCATGATTTGGGTTTCTCTTTTCTTTGCCTAACCTTTTTTTTTCTTTCTTTTTTTAATTTTTCTGGCTCATAGTAGAAAAGGTAGATGGTATCCAACCTTTTCTTACTGAAGAAAAGAAGTCCAGAGGAGGGATAAAGAGGAAGAAAATTAGTGTCAATGTTAGTGTTTCTCAATATAGAGTAGGTATTTACTACAGGTAAATAAAGCACAAATCCAGAAATGTATGCTGGACATGGCTTGTTCATCAGGTTTAGAGGAGGTTACCTAGATTTTGATTTGGAAAAACAATGGACTTGAAAAATGAGACTATTGCTGAATGCAGTGGCTCTTGCTTGTAATTCCAGCACTTTGGGAAGCTGAGGTTGCATGGTAGCACTCACTCAACTACCATTTCCTAGGTTCAGGTGATTCTCCCAGCTCAGCCTCCCAAGTAGTCCCAGCTTTTTTGTTTTACAACCTTTCAGCTACTCAGGAGGCTGAGGTAGGAGGATCACTTGAGCCCAGGAAATCAAGGCTGCAGTGCACTCCAGCCTGGGTGACAGAGTGAGATCCTGTCTCAAAGATAAAATGAAAAGTTTAAAAACATGAGACTATCAAATAAATTTATAACAAATTACAAATTATTTAAACCTAATTTTTATTAAGTTGTATTTAAAAATAAAAGTATAAAATTACAAAATTTAGACATTAAGGCCAGGTGTGGTGGCTCACTCCTGTAACCCCAGCACTCTGGGAGGCTGAGACTGGCAGATCACCTGAGGTCAGGAGTTCGAGACCAACCTGGTTAACATGGTGAAACCCTGTCTCTTCTAAAAATAGAAAAATTAGAAAGGCATAGTGGCGGGCGCCTGTAATCCCAGCTACTTGGGAGGCTGAGGCAGGAGAATCACTTGAACCTGGGAGATGGAGGTCACAGTGACCCAAGATCAAAATCATTGCACTCCAGGCTGGGCGACAAGAGCAAAACTTCATCTCAAAAAAAAAAAATTAAACATTAAGAATTTATGAAATTATAACAAAGTTGATATATATTGTTCCTATGAGAATTGACTTATTTGTGATTGTTTTAGCCCAATTATTGAAGATAGCCGTGAAGCCACACACTCCTCTGGCTTCTCTGGATCTTCTGCATCGGTTGCAAGCACCTCCTCCATTAAATGTCTTCAAATTCCTGAGAAACTAGAACTTACTAATGAGACTTCAGGTAAGATCATGCATACCACTGTATCCATACCTAGGGAACACTAGTTTATCTCAGCAAACGGAGCCGTATGTTTTTCTTACCTTCTCTTTTTGAGACAATGTCTCACTCTGTCACCCAAAATGGAGTGCAGTGGCACAGTCACAGCTCACTGCAGCCTAAACTCACTGGGCTCAGATGATCCTCCTACCTCAGCCTGTTGAGTAGCTGGGACCACAAATGTGCCACCACCATGTTTGGCAAATTTTTGTATTTTTTGTAGAGGCGAGGTTTTGCCATGTTGCCAGGTTGGTCTCAACGTCCTAGTCTCAAAGTACCTTCCCACCTCTGCCTCTCAGAGTGCTAAGATTATAGGTGGAGAATCTGTGCCCAGCCTGTATGTTTTTCTTTCCGAGAGAAGTTGCCATAAATTGTGAAATTTCTAGAATAGATTGTACAAACTGAACACAGTTTCATAAAGATCTGAGACAGATGAGTGTAATTAAATTAACAGTGCTGACTGTGTAATCTTGATTTTTTTCCTCTACCCTGTTAAAATATTCATTTTAAGCGTTAGGTTTTTTTGGTGATATCTTTTCACCTTTCCCTCCCACTGGCAGAAAACCCTATACAGTCACCCTGGTGTTCACAGTATCGTAGACAACTGCTGAAGTCCCTACCAGAGTTAAGTGACTCTGCAGAGCTTTTTATAGAAGACAGACCAATGCCTAAGTTGGAAATTGAGAAGGAAATTGAATTAGGTAAGTATCATTGAATGTATGTCCTCTGGAGTATGACAGTATACAAATAAGTGATTATTTGTACTTAAACTTGATGCTTGAGCACTGTAAATATCTCTAGATTGTATTTTTTAAAAAAGAAATACAGAGGGTAACACACTGACAACTTCATGTCCTAATAATAGGAATTATGTCTTCCCCTCTTAAAATTGTTTTTGTTGTTGTTTTGTTTTGTTTGAGACAGTCTTGCTCTTGTTGCCCAGTCTGGAGTGCAATGACATGGTCTCGGCTCACCGCAGCCTCTGCCTCCTGAGGTCAAGCAATACTCCTGCCTCAGCCTCTGGGGTAGCTAGAATTACAGATATCCACCACCACATGCTGCTAATTTTGTATTTTTTTTTAGTAGATACGGGGTTTCTCCATGTTGGTCAGGTTGGTCTTAAACTCCCAACCTCAGGTGATCCACATGCCCTGGATTCCCAAAATGCTAGGATTACAGATGTGAGCCACTGCGCCTGGCCGCAATTGTTAACAAATAATTTTTTAAAGTATTCTAGATGCTACAATATACCAGCGCCTCTATCCTTTCAGCCAGGAGGTAAAGGCTAAATGGCCTATGGTACTAGGCCATATATGTTCACAGTGATTTTTAAATAGAATCAAACCTTCTCAACAGGAAATGAAGATTATTGCATTAAACGAGAATACCTAATATGTGAAGATTACAAGTTATTCTGCGTGGCACCAAGAAACTCTGCAGAGTTAACCATAATAAAGGTGGGACTGATTCTTTGTAATTCCAGTTACTTTGTAAATAACAGGGATTGAAGGAATAACTGTCCTCATGGTACCATCAAATCTTTCTAATAATCTCTCTCAATATGTCCCAAATATATTAAGTCTCCTTTCAGTTTCTTTTTTGGAGGAAATCTCTGCTGATACTTTCTTTCCTGCTCCAATCTGGACAAGCTATACATTAGCTTTTACACACACACACCACACACAGTCACCATGGAATTTCCACTTATCGTCCTAGATACTCACATTACCTTTTTCTTATATTGGATACCCAGTTTCTTTTTCTTTCTTTTTTCTTTCCTCTTCCCTCCCCTCCCCCTCCCCCCTTCCCTTCCTTTTCTGTTTTATTTCTTTTTTAAGAGGGTCTTACTCTGTTACCGAGGCTGGAGTACAGTGCCATGATCACGGCTCACTGCAGCCTTGACCTCCCAGGCTCAAGCAATCCTCCCACCTCAGCCTCTGAGACTATAGCTAGGACTATAGGTACATGCCACCACTCCCAGATAATTATTTTTTGTAGATACTGGGGCCTCTTTGTGTTGCCTAGGCTGATCTTGAATTCATGGCTCAAGTGATCTTCCCACCTTGGCCTCCCAAAAAACTGGGTACAGGCATCTGTCAAAATGCCTGTAACCAAATGGCATCTAACTTTGCTTCTGATTTTTTTTTTTTTTGCCATTCTGAGTCTCAAAGTTTTCTGTGAAGTTATTTTTCCCTCTTTCTGGATCCTTCTAGGATCTTAATCTTGTCCCCACTATTCTGAAATGTCACAGTTACATGCCTTGGTGTAAGTTTGTTGTCACTTAATTACTAGGCACTCAGTGGCCATTTCAATCTGTTAATTCCCTCAGTTCTGAGAAATTTTCTTTAATGGAAAAAAATTTTTCTCCCTCAGTTTTCTCTGTTCTCTTATTTTCTAATTCCTTTTGTTAGAGGTGCATATGGCACCTTTTGGATAGAACCTTTAAAAAATGTAACTCTTTTTCTCCTGTATTCTCTTTATTTTGTTACTTTATTTTCTGAGTAATTTATCAACTTAATATTTTTGGTCTTTTGACTAGGTTTTTATTTCTTTTGTCTATATTTAATTTTCAAGAGCTTTTTTTTTAAATTAGAATTTTCTCTGTAGCATTCTATTCTTCATTTCAAAGATAGAATATTCCCTATCTTTCTGAATTAATGATTTAAAATTTTTTTCTCCCTTCATGATCTGTTTGTACCTGTTTCTTTTTGTCTGTTTTGATCTCTTTCATTCTACAGGTTTTCTTCAAGTCTTTGGCTCTGTATTCATATTTAAGTATGGGACACTAAAAGCTAATTGAAAGTTCTGTGTATATGGAAAGACCTTGATAGCTGTGGACTTCAATGTAGTAGGATGATCTAGCTTGGCCATTTTATTGGAAAATCCCCCAATCTTCAGATCTTTTCTCTTGAGCTGATCAGAGAAGTCTTCTCTTCAGAAGAGACTTCTAATTTTCTGCCTGGAGCACATAAGCCTGGCTTCTAGCTTTCTGAAAGCTGAGGAAATTGGTCTGAAGAACGGAAGGGCAGGCAGGTGCATCTTAACATCTGATATATACACTTTTTCCTGTTTTTTTCCTGTTATTTTTACCTCACTGGTACCTAGTGCCCTCTAGTGCAGAGCCCTTCTGTTTTATACTCACTAGGGAATAAACTTCTGGTCTTGGAGAATAGGGGAGAGGTGGTTGCTGGGCTAGGCTATAAAGCAGAAGAGGGAAGCTGGAATCTACCTTCATGTTAAATGGGATTCAGTCACTCCTGTTTTAGCTCTACTCTCAGCCTCCCTTCCATGGGTAATTGGTGCTTCCAGTTATATAATATAGGGAAATAGCCTTGTAGTGTAAATGTAGCTCAGCTTTCTCCACTGCCAAAACCAGTTTTTATTCTAATTGGATTGTTTCCTCTTACTGTCTTTCCAGCTGATTCTCTTTCCAGAATTTGTTGTTGTTTCGTCCTTTATAGATTTATTCCTCTAAAAAACATCTATTTATTATTATCTATGTATCAGGACTGGAGGGAATGTGTTTCAACCTGCCAGCCATAACCATAGACTTTAATGGAACTTATTTTTAAAATATAATGTCTTACAGGTATCGTTTCAACCTGTCCCATGGGACTTTTATATCAACCACAAGTTAAAGGAACGTTTAAATGAGGCGTGTGATCATTTGTGCAGCTGTTATCAATATCAAGATGGCTGTATTGTTTGGCACCAGTATATTAACTCCTTCACCCTTCAGGTTTGCAATACTAAAAACATAATTTAAAGTTCTCAAGTAAAGAGATTTGTGCTCCATTTAGCAAAGGAATTTAGAACAAAATTTCTGTCAATCTTCTAAAAGTAGAGCATTCAATTATAAGTTAAAAGCATTGATCCTTTTCTCAAGTTATTTTGACTGAAGATCTCTTTATTTTCTTTTAACTTTTTTTGTCAGTTTTCAAGCATAAACAAAAGTAAAACGAATTGTACAATGAATTCCCATGAACTAGTCATCTATGATAATCTTTAGTTCATGGCCACTCTTGTTTACCTATACTACCCTCACTGGATTATTTTTAAAACCCAGACACAATATGTCATTTTATTCTTTGGTTTGTTCTTAAGGTTTGCTACAGATTTTGATGATAATATGAATTCTCTTAAAATGGTTGGAATGAGGGTATTTTAAAACATTTATCAAGTGCCTATTTTGGACCAGGCTCACTCTTGATGCCATTCATCATGATGTCATTAAATCCTTACAAAGAATCGTATGGGAGATCAAAGTATGTTAAAACTGGGAGTTAGAGTCAGTCTACAGAGGAGCCTGCGTTCCAGTAGAGAACAAGGAAGACTATAGTCCATCAGTTATCAAAGTATTGAGTATAACCACAGTCTGCCAAACTTGAGAAGTGAGTTTTCTATCATTCTATTTCCAGGAACTTCTCCAACACAGTGAATATATTACCCATGAAATAACAGTGTTGATTATTTATAACCTTTTGACAATAGTGGAGAAACTACACAAAGCAGAAATAGTCCATGGTGACTTGAGTCCAAGGAGTTTGATTCTCAGAAACAGGTTGGTCCTTTTCATTCTTACAATTCTATCAGCTTTCTCTGAAAACATGGATAGTTGACACTTTTTTTTTCTTATTTGAGGCAGGGTGTCACTCTATCACCTAGTTTGGAGTATTGTGGCATGATCTCGGCTTAATACAACCTCCGTCTCCCAGGTTCAAGCAGTTTTCCTGTATCAGCCTCACTTGAAGCTGGGACCACAGGTGTGCACCACCACACCTGGGTAATTTTTTGTATTTTTTTTTTTTTTTTTTTTTTGTAGAGATGAGGTTTCACCATGTTGCCTGGGCTGGTCTCAAACTCCTTGCCTCAAGTAATCTGCTCACCTCAGCCTCCCGAAGTGCTGGGATTATAGGTGTGAACCACCATCCTGGCATTGCCTGTTTTAAAGCCTTTTGATAAACGCCATATCAAGGAACACAGAGCAGGAAATAAGAAATGAATCCTAAATACTAAGGATTGAGAAAATATAGATAACATTCAGGCATTAACTAGGCAAATACAGTTTAACATATTCGCTTTGTGAAAAGGACTAGAAGACCACTACATTCTTTTAGTGATCATTGATGTTATAGTACTTGAGTAAAAGCAGCCTGGTTTAAAGATGCTTTGTCAGCTGGGCAAGGTGGGTCATGCTTGTAATCCTAGCACTTTGGGAGGCTGAGACAGACAGATCGAGGTCAGGAGTTTGAGACCAGTTTGGCCAACATGGCAAAACTCTGTCTCTACTAAAAGTACGAAAATTAGCTGGGCATGGTGGCGGGCACCCGTGATCCCAACTGTTTGGGAGGCTGAGGCAGTAGAATTGCTTGAACCTGGGAGGTGTACATTGCAATGAGCTGAGATCGCCCAATTGCACTCCAGCCTGGGCGATAAGAGTAAGATTCCATCTCAAAAAAAAAAAAAAGATGCTTTGTCTGCTCCACCCATGTCTTGGGTGAGGTGTTAAGTTTGTTTCTGAGGCCACTGATATACACTAATAGCTGGACGCTGGACTTATTCTCTACATTTCTTCTGAATACTTAATCTGTAAGAAGAGATTGAATTCAGCTCTAAATTACAGTTGGCATGGAAATTTAAAGACCCCTCAAGGTATTCCTGTGATTGTAACCAAAAGAACTAGAGAATCCTACCTTCTCTGTGAGATAGCAGTCAAAGGCTTTCCCAGACATAATAGCAGCATTTCTCATCCAGGGCACCAAAGGTATTTTGGATGAAACAATTCTTTGTGCAGGTATGTTCCAAGCAATGCAGAATGTTTTATATTCCTGTTCCCCTAGCCACCCAATTTTTAATGTGCAAGTAACAATCCCCTAAGTTGTCACAACCAAAAATTCCCCCAAATTTCCAAATATGAGAACCCCTGGTATATTTTCACTCTACTTCACAACATTAAAATGACAGTGCTGATATTCCTGGGGCTATGGAAATTGGAAGCAGAGGTATTTTCTAAGCCTTTTAGAATTGGAAATTTGTGGTCTATGGAATATGATGGCCCTTTTCTCAGCCACCAGACACTCCAGGAAGTACATAGCTTCAAAGAGACAGTGCTTTTTACTTTTTCACTATTTATCAAATTTGATCAGAAATTTCACATCGATTCATAAGGAATTAAAAGCCAGAAAGGGACCAGGCATATGGTGGCTCACACCTGTAATCCCAGCATTTTGGGAGGCTGAGACAGGTGAATCACCTGAGGTCGTGAGTTTGAGACCAGCCTGACCAGTATGGAAAAACCCCATCTCTACTAAAAATTCAAAATTAGCTGGGCATAGTGGCACATGCCTGTAATCCCAGGATTCGGGAGGCTGAGGCAGGAGAATTGCTTGAATCCAGGAGGAGGAGGTTGTGGTGAGCTGAAATTGTGCCATTGCATTCCAGCCTGGGCAACAAGAGCGAATTCCATCTCAAAAAAAAAAAAAAAGGCCAGAAAGGGCTGGACATAGTGGCTCACATCTGCAATCCCAGCACTTTGGGAGGCAAAGACAGGACTATCTCTTGAGGGAGTTCAAGACCAGCCTAGTCAATATAGCAAGACTTTGTCTCTACAAAAATAAAACTAAAGCCAGAGAGAACCTTTTGAAATTGCTTAGTTTAGTTGCTTACCTTAGTTTCTACGTATTTGTTGAGGAAAATGAGATCCAAAAAATGGAATGTCCTACCCAAAGTAAAAGTGAGTTAGTAGCTGATTAGAGGGCTAGGAGACCTTCATGCATGCTTCTTTTGATTAATCTATGAAACATTTTTTCCTGTGTCTCCCAAGTTATATAGATATTTTACAATTACACTGGCACAAAGACTCACATCTGTAATCCCAGCACTTTGGGAGACCAAGGCAGATCACTTGAGCCTAGGAGTTAAGACCAGCCTGGGCAATGTAGTGAGACCTCATCTCTACAAAAAATTAAGAAATTAGCCAAGCGTGGTGGTGCATGCCTGTAGTCCCAGCTACTCAGGAGGCTAAGGTGGGAGGATCGCTTAACCCAGGAGGCAGACTGCAGTAAGCCAAGATCATGCCACTGTACTCCGCCCTCAGTAACAGAATGTGACCTTGTCTGAGAAACAAAACATGGCCAGGCACGGAGGCTCATGCCTATATATCTGGCACTTTGGGAGGCCAAGGTGGGTGGATCACGAAGTCAGGAGTTCAATACCATCCTGGCCAACATGGTGAAACCCCGTCTCTACTAAACAAAGCAAAAATTAGCTGGGCATGGTGGCTCATGCCTGTAATCCCAGCTACTTGGGAGGCTAAGGTAAGAGAATTGCTTGAATTGGGACCTGGGAGGTAGAGGTTGCAGTGAGCCAAGATCACGCCATTGCACTCCAGCCTGGGCTACAGAGTGGGACTCCATCTTAAAAAAAAAAAAAAAGGCACACACATATATTATAATATATATATATTTTAAATTATAGTATAGTTTTATCATGGCCAAAAACGGTTGGATCTTATACTAAAGAAAAATGGGAGAAACTGTCAATTTTAAAGTAAAATACATAGATCATTCTGTGCTGTGGAGTTATTAATTGGAGTAGTTAAACCCTGTATTTAGGAATATAGAAACTGCATCAATGTCAGGAGTTTGAGAAAACTAATTGAGAAAAACTGAGACAAAAGTAGCACATGAAAACCCACTCTTTTCATTTATAAACAGTTCCTATAGAGAACAGCTTTATTACATAGGATAGATAAACCCAAGGAAAATAGAATTGATCAATAATTAATTAGTATTATGAAGTTTTTTTTTAGGAAGTAAGAATTGGAATTACAAATAGGAGTAAGATAAAATATGGTGTTTTACAGGAAATTTTACAATACAGATCAGACTTTGTAAAACAGACTTGTATTGTTTTCCATTAAACTCTAGAAGGAAGAATCTGAACAAAACTTGGAAAGCTTATCTAGTAAACAAGAAAGGCTATGACACTTATAAAAGTTTAATTTCCTCCATTATAATTCCTGTCTGTGTATAAATTGTTGCAATTGTATGTGTTAATGTGTACAGTACAGGGAAAAAGCATGTACTCTCCTTCCATACTTACTTTATATAATATGGAAGCCTGATAAATGTTTAATGTTGGCCATGCACCATGATTGAAATATAATGTGGCACCAAACTGGTGACATTCCTTCCCTGTTGAGTGGACGCTGCCTCTGCTGAGTATTACCGGTGCATTTTCAAAATTAACCACTGGAGGGAGCTATTGGCATAGCTAAGATGTACCTGCGGTACTTGTTTTTTTTTTTTTTTAAAAAGACCAGCTATGCAGCTTCTTTCATGGCCTGTTTTTATTATCTCCTCTTAAATCTGGGCTCAGAATCCATGATCCCTATGATTGTAACAAGAACAATCAAGCTTTGAAGATAGTGGACTTTTCCTACAGTGTTGACCTTAGGGTGCAACTAGATGTTTTCACCCTCAGTGGCTTTCGGACTGTACAGATCCTGGAAGGACAAAAGATCCTGGCTAACTGTTCTTCTCCCTACCAGGTAAGTGTAAAACAAGCCTGAGCAAATATGGAGAGGGTTACTTAATCTCTTTATTACCTAGACAAGCTAAAAAAGCTAGTGTTTACTGATACTGACTCTCCTAGAATAGATGACCTAGTTTTCAAATATCACCAAGTCAAGCAAAATGTAACATTTTTGTGTTACAGCACTGAAGAATATACACATACACGTGCAAACACATGACTAAGTAACCTAAGTGCCAGGGCAGTTCCTACTGCTCACCACCCTTGTGATCTTTTATAAGTCATATTCTATGATCTTCTCTGCAAAATAGGGATAACAGTCTCTGCTATGTGTTTGCCAGAATTGTTGTGAGGAGTAAATGAAGTAATGTGTTTAAAGAGGACATTAGTGCAAATGTAAAGTCTTTTGTATGGTGGCATTATATGCAGAAATTCCTTCTAACTCAGCTTGAGACACAAGACATTTGCTGATTGAATAGTAGTATGAACCTGAAATAATTGTGTGGACTCCGTTTAGATCACAGCTGGAGTTCTTGCAAACGCAGTAGGTCTACAAATTTGAATGTGATAGTCCAAATATTTCACCTTTTGTTATTAGAGTTGGCTCTATTTATCACTTCTTTGGAGAGCTTCTCTGTTTACTCTAAGGGTAAGGAACAGTCTACTAAAATTATGTCCTAAAATATACTTAATTAAGTACTGTAATACCTTTCAACTTCCTACCAAAATAAGCTGCCATGGTAGAGACAGAGAATTATTTTAGCTGATGGTGCTTTTTGTGATTTCAGGTAGACCTGTTTGGTATAGCAGATTTAGCACATTTACTATTGTTCAAGGAACACCTACAGGTCTTCTGGGATGGGTCCTTCTGGAAACTTAGCCAAAATATTTCTGAGTAAGTATTTGTGAATTTCAGGCTCTCTGCCTGTCCCAATAGTTTTCTTTCTCTTGGGTGCAGTCTCTGCTTTGGCAGCCTTAATTTTTTCATCCAAATGCCATGATTTTAGTAGTTTCAGCCAGCTTTCGTTAGAATATCAGCAGAGCATCTAGTGCAGGATAAAGGAACTGCTTGTTAAAAATAAGACTCAAAACTATACAGACATCAAGACATCATTCTGAAACTAGCTGTATCTTACAGACTATAGATATAGTATGGAAACTTCTCTGTTTAGATATGTGAACAGAAACAATTCATGAGAATAATTTTCTAATGAATTGGTATTAGCCTTAAATTCCTTTTTAATAGTGATTATTACCAGAAGTTAATAAGCATCTCTTGAAAAGACTTATATTTCCAAACTATATGCTAATTTTAGGCTATTATTTATTTAATAAGTTGGTAGAACCAAACGAGAGAACTGAATCTCCTGGTAAAGAAGTAAATGATCTCTTAATAAGAGCTGTTTGGTCTCAGAACCTTTCTACTTCCTCAAGCCTGCTCATAGAACTTACTAAGTCAGCTGGGTATGGTGGCTCACACCTGTAACCCCATTACTTTGGGAGGCTGAGGTCGGCAGATCACCTGAGGTCAGGAGTTTGAGACCAGCCTAGCCAACATGGTGAAACCCCATCTATACTAAAAATACAAGAAAATTAGCGGGGCACACGCCTGTAATCCTAGCTGCTTGGGAAGCTGAGGCATGAGAATCACTTGAACCCAGGAAGCAGAGGTTGCAGTGAGCTGAGATCACATCACTGCACTCCAGCCTTGGTGACAGAGTGAGACTCCATTTCAGAACACACACACACACACACACACACACACACACACACACACCCTACCTTAATAAGTATGTTCCACTTTAGATTATCTTAGCAAATAACTTCCCAGCATAAGTTTGCCAGTCTGTCACTTATTTTTATATTCTTAAGTTTAAAAAAAAATCATTGTTGAAGACTTAATGCCTCTTCTCCTTTTTCCTCTTTGAATAATTGAATTGTATTTTCCTTTTTATTTAGTTCAGAACTTGGCCAGTGTTGTCTCTTACATGTACTTTTAAAATAGGCTTGAAATACAGTGTAAGACATATAGGATAGATACAGGCATGTCCACTTGGCTATCGTCCAGGCAGATCTGACTAACACAAGCAGAAACAAGTGGGGTCACTTGGGGTTTCCTAACTGTCCTGCCTTATATAGTAAGAGAAGTTTCTCTGATCAAAAGAAAATAATAATAAGCAAAGGTACAGACATATTAAGCAGTAGTTACTGTAGCTAAGCTTAGGATTCTCAGAGAATTGTAAAGATGATCAACTACTGGGGTGGGAGGAAGGAGCTGTAGTCTTTTTAATGACCTAGAGTCTGTGAAAGTTAGAGGAAATAAAATTTCTTTTTCTTCTATTTGTAGAAGAAAAGTGCTATGTATTAGTACACAGAGGAAATTTATAGATTGGGATGAGAGAACTTCTTTCCCTTTATGTGCATTATATCTTGGTGTTTCCAACTATGGTAGCCCTTTTTTGTAGTTCTTTCCTGGGCTTTCAAAGGACTATCTGAATGATCTCTAACCCTAGAGTTCTAGGGATTACCTTAAACTATTTTGGTGCATAAATGTACCACTGAGTTAAAGAAAAAAGGAATTATAATTTTCATATGCCTAATCTTGATGGAAATCGTTTTATATATTTTTAGGCTAAAAGATGGTGAATTGTGGAATAAATTCTTTGTGCGGATTCTGAATGTCAATGATGAGGCCACAGTGTCTGTTCTGAGGGAGCTTGCAGCAGAAATGAATGGGGTTTTTGACACCACTTTCCAAAGTCACCTGAACAAAGCCCTATGGAAGGTAGGGAAGTTAACTAGTCCTGGGGCTTTGCTCTCTCAGTGTGAGCTAGGCAATCACCTCTCATAAATTCCTGCCTCAGAGCAATGGTTGCATTCTGAAACACTGAAACTGTATATGCTGTAATTTAATTTGGGACAAATTTAGATGTGCTACCAATGCTTTTCTACTTTTCGGTAGAGGTGTATTTCGAAGTAACTGATATTTTTTACATAGCAATATGCTTACTCATGGCTTTGTCTAACTTTTAAAAAGAACTGTTTTATTCTAAACAGGCTCATTACAAATGGTTACCTTGTTATTTAACCCATTTGTCTACTTTTCCCTGTACTTTTCATTTGTAATTTGTAAAATGTTCTCTCATGATCACCATGTATTTTGTAAATAATAAAATAGTATCTGTCAAATTTGTGCTTCTAACATGTCACGTACTTTTTGCAAACTAAAATAATAAATGGCTTAATTTTGCAGAGAGGACCTGTTTTGCCCTGGAAATTAATATATCCTAGACTTAGAACTGTTATGAGAGGATAATAACGAGACAGAGTAGCCAACTATTTCTTAAGGTGTGTCTGACCTTTGAATAAATGGTCTAGACTGAAAAGAAGGTAAGATGATATGCATAAGACCAAATTTCCTTAAATTTCAAGTGGCATGATTGTATTTATGGCTTATGTTTTAATGTTTTCACTTTTTTTGGAGACAGGGTCTCCTCTGTTCCCCAGGCTATCCAGCCTTGACTTCCCAGGCTCTGGCAATTCTCTCACCTCAACCTTCCAAGTATGCCTGGAAGTACAGGCACATGCCACCACACCTGGCTTATTTTTTTGTATTTTTGTAAAAATGGGACTTTACCACTTTGCCCAGGTTGGTCTTGAACTCCTGGGCTCAAGTTATCTGCCCACCTCAGCCTCCCAAAGTGCTGGGATTACCCAGCCCTAATGATTTCACTTTTATCCACCAAGCTCCTTGGTCTATTTATATAATCTAGTGGCACTGCTACTGGGTCTCTTGCTTAGGAATGTGACTGTTAGAAAGTAAAAGCAAACATGTTGAACAGGGTTTAGCAACCTTTCAGAAATGGAATAATCACCATTCTATTACATGCAGAATGACTTGAGGGGGGCAAGGGTCAGTGAAGGAATACAAGGAAATTTTGTTTGAAAGATTTGAGGAAGCAGGAGGTCAAATAAAAAGATAACTTTGAAGCATGAAATAATTTGGGAAAGAATAGGCTTAGAAAAAGTTGGACTTCCAAAGAGAAGCATGAATTACATACACCTGGCCTCAAGGATAGGAAAGAAAATTGGTAGAAAAAGGCAATGAAAATTATTCAGTTATTAGCTGGGCACCATGACTCACACCTGTAGTCCCAGCACTTTGGGAGGCCAAGGAGGGAGATTCAAATGAGGCCAGGAGTTTGAGAGCTTCCTGGGTGACAAAGTGAGCCCCATCTCTACAAAATAAATATAAATTAGTTGGGTGCAGTGCCACATGCCTGTAGTCCTAGCTACTTTGGAATCTGAAGCAAAAGGATTGCTTGAGCCTGGGAGTTCAAGGTTTAGTGAGCTATGATTGCACCACTGCACGACAGAGCAAGACCCTGCCTCTCAATAAAAGAAAGAAAATTATCTAATTATTTCATATCCTAAATAACAAAATTAGCTAATGTTCCTCCATGCTAGTGCTTTATTTTTTTTACTCTAGTAAAAAGTCACTGTTCCTGCTCTAAGATTGCTGGAAAGCAGAAAATTCTATGTATGTCTTAACTAAAAATATTTAAGCATATATAGTTGAAGCAATGCAGCATGACTTGGATCTGAAATATAATCAACTTAGAAATATTTGCTCTTAACCAAAATACAGCTCTCCAAACATTCTCACATTTGCTTCTAGTACTGATGATGTAAAATGATTTATCTGTATCTTTTAAATAAGCCCCTCTCCTCTCTGCTCTACTCATTTCTCAGTTCACTGTGTTGACACATAAAGTTATTTCTCTGAGACTGGACAGTAAATATAGATTCCTTCTTATTGTAGGCTTAGCTACTATCTAGTGAATTCTTTAGCAAGCTTGAGGGCAGGCTGCTGTGTAAATAAAGCTTTGTTTCTGAAAGTAGGCTGTGAGGAAAGGGAGGGGAATCTGAGGAAGCTACTTTGTTAGAGAACTTGTATCTGTTTTACCAACCCTCCTTCCATTCCAGTCTCCTCCAACCCCAGCCCTTCTTTGTAGAGAGGAGAAAATGGTACCTGACCAATTAGGACTTATAATGTCATAGGTTTTCTGTTTGCCTAAGCATAAAACCACAAAGTGAAATCCTTTCCATTTCCCTTATATTATATGCTTGTTTGTCTTGGAAGAAGGAAGCCTTTCCTTTTTGGCAGAAGTTTCAAATGGATTTTATTTCTTGTCTCACTAAGGCAGTAATAGTGTAGTGATGGACCTGGTGGGGTAGTAGGGGACAGCTGAAAAGACAGGAGTTTTACTTTTGTTTTAAAACAGACCACATAACATATAGCATCTCACCATTCACAGTGTTGTTATGTCTGCCAATCTTACTCCACTGTTAGAGCCTTCATCCTCCTATGGCAGTAGTGTAAGAAAATTTCCACCAAATCAGAGTGCTCTTACTGAAGCCAAACCTGAATCTGGAAATAAAAAGATTTTCATGGAGCAGTAGGACTTCAGACTGTTGGTTGGCTATTATCTCAAGATAAATAAGAAAGCCTTTCAGGTTGGCACAAGGTTCTTGGAAATAACTCACTGGTGGCTTTAAGCAAGGACAGCAAAGAAGTGCTTTTCTGTTGCATCTGAAAATGAGGAATTCTTCCAGCTGCACCAGTTCTTTCTAATATGCCAAAATTTTCTTCTAATTTGGCTCCTAAAATTAAGGTTTTCCTAGTGAGGAGAATTCATTTAAAAAAAATTTTTTTTTAATATGGTAAACTTCTACCTTAATGGGATCCTTGGTTCTACCAAAGATGTAAGAAGCAATCAATATTTAATAGGTCAAAGGTGGCATTTTAAGTCAGTATGTGAAAAGATTATTCAATAACTGGTATTAAAACTGGATTAGGGGCCGGGTGCAGTGGCTCACACCTGTAATCCTAGCACTTTGGGAGGCCAAGGCAGGCGGATCATGAGGTCAAGAGATGGGGACCATCTTGGCCAACATGGTGAAACTCTGTCTCTACTAAAAATACAAAAATTAGCTAGGTGTGGTGGCATGTGCTTGTAGTCGCAGCTACTCAGGAGGCTGAGGCAGGAGAATCACTTGAACCCAGGAGGTAGAGGTTGCAGTGAGCTGAGATTGCACTACTGCACTCCAGACTGGGTGACAGAGCAAGACTCCATCTTAAAAAAAAAAAAAAAAGATAGATTAGGCCAGGTGCGGTGACTCATGCCTGTAATCACAGCACTTTGGGAGGCTGAGATGGGTGGATCTACCTGAGGTCAGGAGTTTGTGACCAGCCAGGGAAACATCGTGAAACCCCTTCTCTACTAAAAATACAAAATTAATTGGTTGTGGTGGCTCATGCCTGTAATCCCAGCTACTTGGGAGGCTGAAGCAGGAGAATCACTTGAACCCAGGAGGTGGAGGTTGCACTTAGCCAAGATCATGCCATTGTACTCCAGCCTACGCAACAAGAGTGAAACTCTGTCTCAAAAACAAAAAATGAAAACAAAACAAAACAAAAAACCCGCAGTGGATTAAAGCTTGAACTCTATCTCCAGTGCCACCACTAGTTCATATAGCACCTTTGTGTAAATTAGAAAAGACCCCTTCCTCTAGGATTCAGTACCTCCCAGTGTGCCATAGCCTGAGTGAATTTCAGTCCCCACTTAACCCCCTCAGCCTGGTACCCTTGTGCAGCAAATAAATTGTGTGGTCTTACACAGTGATCTTGCCTGTTTCACTGCTTATCCCCAAAATGATTTTAGAGAAATCAAATTTTAATCAAAATACAATGTATTTTGTATTTTGGTTTTGTAATCTTTTGCCTGTGTGACATAAAAGCAATATATAAATAAGAAGATTGCTATGACTATAGCAGATAAAAAATATAGCATGGCCACCTGTCCTTCCCTGCAAAAAAAAAAAAAAAAAAATTAAAACACCATAAAGTTAAAATTTAGTGACAATAAATATTTACATCTTTTTATTCCTTGAGTCAGATCTTGCTCTATCGCCTGGGCTGCAGTGTAGTGGTGAGATCAGTCTCCAGGTTTCAGGCCTCCCAAGTAGCTGGGACTGTTGGTACACACCACCACACCTGTCTAATTTTTAACATTTTTAGTAGAGACATCATGTCTCTCTGTGTTGCCCAGGCTTGCATTCACTTTCATCTGGTCTCATGACTTATCTTTGTTCCTATCCACCTTCAGACAAATCAGAACCCTCCAAAGACTTTACTATGGCCCATAAGACCCTACCATGTCTGACCCCACTTTCTCTGACCTCTTCCCTGACTCCCTTCTTCCTTACCCACACTGCTGTAGTCTATCTGCCTCCTTGCTGCTTCTGAAATGTGCCAACTAATTTCCCTCTCCCTCTCCTTGAAGTCTTTTGGCTTTAAAGGCCAGATGTTTTTTGGCAGAAAAAACATTTCTGCCTGAAATGTTCTTTTCCTTGATCTTTGTGTAAATTACTTCCTTTCTTCCTTTCAGGTAGGTGCCTTCTCAAATCTCTATCAGTGAGGCTGTCCCTGACCACTCTGTACACTGTACAAAATAGCATCCCATCCCACACACAGTGCTGTCACTTTCTATCCCTTTTTACCCTCCTTTGTTTTCTGTAGCACCTGTTACCACCTTGTGGGTACACACGCGTGTGTCTGTGTGTGTACCTAAGATTTTTTTCCTTCATCTCTCTACTAGAATTTAAATTCCTTTAGGGCAGGGATTTTTGTTTTGTTTTCTGTTTGACTACACTGTCTAGAACAGTGCCTGAATGAATGAAACTTACTTTACCTAAAGTGCAAAAAACTCTTAAAAAATTGAAAACCAAAAGAAATAGGCAAAGGACATGAACAATATACTAAAACATTTTAATGGCTCACATACATGAGATGTTTATTCCTAATTAAATGCAAAATCATTGAGAAATTGTCATCTTTCACTGTAAATGGTTGAAAATTGTAAAGATGATAAGAAACAGGTACTCATATATTAGTTGGGATACAAACTGGCACATTATTAGCAGTTGATTCAGCAAAATTTACTTAAATACTACCTTTAGCTGAGAAACTTTTCTAAGAATTTATCTCACAAAAACATTGACACAGGGGCTCAGAGAAAACACTGATCCTAATACTTGTCTTCTCTGCTTCCAAGGCTTGTCAGTCCCCAAAGGGATAATCCACATGACAGACCCCAGAAAAGTAGTCCTGGAACTAGTATAGAGGAGCTGGCAGACCATCTCTATAGGCTTCAGGGTGCTGCGTCATTGGCAGGGAGTGCTCTTCCAATTTGCCATGAACCCTTGGAGACAGCAGAACCTGAGCTAGACAGACATTTTCAGCCTATGTAGGGAAAAAAAGCTGTGGGGAAAAAAGTGATTGCCTTTGGTGGGGAGGGTGTATGAGAGAGGAAAGAATGAATGCTTTTTCTTTTTAATTTGTACATTTATAAGCATTTTGAATTTTCTGATCATGTATATGAATTGCTTTTTAAAAAAAAAATGTACTGGGTTAATCTAGGCTAAGAAATTATAGGCCATGTTTTTGTCATCTTTTCCCTCCTGTATGTTATAAAAAATAAGCCTTTTAAGTGTTTTTTGAAAAATGAACATTTGGAAAGCTTTATTATCTAAATATGAAAGCAAAGTTGATATGGAATTCAAATGAGAGTAAAACTTATTTTAAATCTTTGATGATAATATGTCTGAGCTTTTATTTTTAGTATATAAAAATTCATGTTGAAATGTTTAATGTTCTATTAGAGATATGCTTTGTAAAATTACCATCTTCTTACTATTACAACTTCCTATGTTTGTGAACAAGATACCAAATTACATAAAATCCAACTATTTTCAAAACAAAATACATTTTTTATGGCTTTCATATAAAAACTTGAGTTTCCACAAAGTTATCTTGTATGTTTAAGAAAAGAACAAAAAGTGATGAACTTAGGATAAACATCTATAGACACAGACTTTTTTTTTTTTGAGATAGATAGAGTTTTGCTCTTGTTGCCCAGGCTCGAGTGTAATGGCACGATCTCGGCTCACCACAGCCTCTGCCTCAGACTCCCAAGTAGCTGGGATTACAGGCATGCACTATCATGCCTGGCTAATTTTATATTTTTAGTAGAGACAGGGTTTCTCCATGTTGATCAGGCTGATCTTGAATTCCTGACCTCAGGTAATTCGCCCGCCTCAGCCTCCCAAATTGCTGGGATTACAGGCGTGAGCCACCATGCCCAGCTGATATGTGCTTTTTTTTCCATCAAAGCATGTTACTTCCAATAATCTTGCTCTTGAGAGGCTTGCGTGGCAAACCTTTGGCTTCTGAGCAGTGTTGTTCTGTAAATTCATGTTAGCCGTTCCATCAAGAGACTGGTTGTCCCATCAAACTGCTAGTTTTTAAGCCCCTTGTGAGTAGGGGACTATGTGTCTATTAATTTTGTATACTCCCAGAAATGAGCACATGGTTCTTAAAAATATGTGGTGAATTAAAATATTGGAAAGGAGCAGCCACAAGTTCAGAAAGTAGTTATACTGGAGCCTTGGTGACAGGGAAGAAATTTGAGTGAGCCTGTAGATATAGCTGAAAGTGTAATCTCCCTATCATTTTTAGTATTTCACTTTATACATGTTTCTTTAACATGTAATAATTGACTGCTGACCTTACATTGCAATATACTTCATCTGGTTTATACCTTTTTAAATTAAATGTTATTTTCTCAGGTATGTTCCACTGAAATGTGTACTGTATTTCCTGTTAAATTACTTCAATCTTAAAGTAAGGATGGCATTTCATAAAAATAAATACCAATTAAAATCTGTGGACAAAAAGATATGTATTTTGTTTTATTTTTATTTTTATTTTTTTGGCATTTTAAAGCCTAGCTGTCCAGGCGCAGTGGCTCATGGCTGTAATCCCAGCACTTTGGGAGGCTGAGGAGGGCAGATCACATGAGGTCAGGAGTTCAAGACCTGCCTGACCAACATCGAGAAACCCCATCTCTACTAAAAATACAACATTAGCTAGGCATGGTGGCACATGCCTGTAATCCCAGCTACTTGGAAGGCTGAGGCAGGAGAATTGCTTGAACCCAGGAGGCGAAGTTTATGGTGAGCTGAGATCGCACCACTGCACTCCATCCTGGGCAACAAGAGTGAAATTCTGTCTCAAAAAAAAGCCTAGCTGGCCTTTTTTTTTTCCACCTAAGAGATGGGGTTTCACCATGTTGCCCAGGCTGGTCTCAAACTCGTGAGCTCAAACAATTTGACGACCTTGGCCTCCCAAAATGCTGGGACAACAGGCATGAGCCGCACCTGGGTTTTATTTGTTTCCTTTTGCATTTTAAACAAAAATGAAAAATCTAATATCACTAGAACAAAGTGATAACGTAATTTAAAAAGATGAAATGCCTGAAGCTTCAGTGATACTGTCTCATTCAAGGAAACAGTAGCTAAGGGTGAATGAGTGTGCAGTGAGTCCAGAGTCCCAGCGAGTCCAGGAGGTCAGGCTGGGAGTAATATGAGCGAGGCAGAATAGACAAACACTAACTAGCATTGCCAGGAGGGACGTTTCAAGTCAAGTGTACCCATCACTGAATAGATATAAAAGCCATCGCTCAGGACTCATGCATGTTCAATATCCTACCACATGGACCAGTGGTCGAGGTTCTGGGGTATAGGCTGTTGGGGGCAGCAGCATAGTTCCTCCCTGTACCATTCCTCTGCAACATTCTATTATGAATTGCCTTGGACTTGTCTATGTGTATGGCCTTACCTCTCCAACTCGGATGAGTTTGTTGGGGGCGAGTTCTCTTTATGCCCTGGTTAGGACTTCAATATAGTGCTCACATTGTAAGGGGTCAACTTTGTAGGCCCAAGGTCTGCTTAGAACCTTCTCAGCAATAGATGACTCTTCCTATGGTACCGAACCAGACACTAGCATGGTGGCTAGAAATTCTGTCTTTAGCCAGAATATTTGGATTTGAATCCTAGCTGTGTAGCACTGGATACGTTACTTAACCTCTCTGAGCCAGTGTCATCTATGAAATGAGGATAATTGAAGGGCCTACTTGACAGAGGATTGAGAACTGAAGCTTTAAGTACACATACTTGTAGATGTTGGTATTGATTTAGTTCTAATGTTTAATGGTCTGAGGTTCTCTGGAAATCTCAAGTAATTTGAGATCTCAGCTGGTTGATCTTAGCCTTTCTATCTTTTGATTTAATATACATAGTATAGCTAAACATTTAATATAATAAAAGTAAGTGAAAGAAATGTGGTATTCTGTAACTTAAAGATAGGGGAAACTTTGTTATTTCTATCAGGATAAGTTTCAGGGAACCAAATATTTATGCTTAAAGAGATAGTCCTTAAGATCAGCCAAATACCAAGGTATCAGGAAAGTCCATCCAGTCTTCATTCTCAGTCCACAAGGTCATTTCAGCCCAAAGGACCTCTGGCTTGCAGCTGGGCTGCTTCTGTGCCATGTTCAGAGCACAGAGATCTTGAAAAGGCTGTCTTGGGTCCTGTTTGTTCCGAGGTACCAGGCAGGGTCTTGCTGCCCACCAGCCACTTAGGTGTATCTCAGTCTTCCTCTCCGCAACCAGGAAAAATGGCTTTCTAGCTTAGGGGACATGGCCTACTGATGCCATTTAAGGCGTCTAGTCTCTTCCTGAGACTCATGTTGCTAGAAACAACAAGATGTAGTCAACAGTGGACCACATATCTGACTGTGGTCCCATGAGATTATAATATCATAATTTTTATGTACCTTTTCTATGTGTAAATATGTTTATTTTTATTATTTTTTGAGACAGGGTCTCTGTTGCAGGCTGGAGTGTGGTGACATGATCATAGTTCACTGCAGCTTGATCTTCTGGGCTGAAGCGATTCTCCCACCTCAGCCTACCAAGTAGGTGGGACTACAGGTGTATGCTACCACACCTGGCTAATTTTCTTTTTTTTTTTAAATGAGAGACATTATCTCACTATGTTGCCCAGGCTGGTCTCAAACTCCTGAACTCAAGGGATCCTCCTACCTCGGCCTTCCAAAATTCTGGTATTACAGGTATGAGCCACTGCCCGCAGCCTAAACATGTTCCAATACACATATGCATACCTTTGTGTCCCAACTGCCTACAGTATTCAGTACAGTAACATGCTGTGCATGTTTGTAGCCTAGGGGCAGTAGGCTACACCATATAGCCTAGGTTTGTAGTAGGCTTTTACCATCGAAGTTTGTGTAACTATACTCTGATGTTTGCAGGATGAAACTACCTAACGACGCATTTCTCAGAATGTATCTCTGTCATTAAGCGAGTATCTGTTATTAAACAATGCATGACTGTATTTCTGTATTATGCTCTGCTATGTCCCTCACCTGAGCCAATGAATAAAAGGTGATCACCTGCTTAATAGGAAAAAGGAAAGGGGGAAATAATAGGAAGCCCTGTGAACTCAATTCAGGAACTGAAAAATCTGGGCTCAACAGCTGCTTGATCTGGTTAGGTCACTCTGCCTTTGCTTGCCCATCTAAACTAGTACTGATGGCTCCTACCGCAAAGGGTTCTTATGAGAATAAACACAAAACAGTAGATGAGCATGGAAGTTCCTTGGCTTATAGCAAGAAGTGATTTGCATCTGCTTCCCCAGCATCCAGCCCTGGGCAAGGCACATGGGAGGCAGTAGGAGCTGGTGCAAACCACTGGTGAATCTAATACACTGTTGAGAGAGATGCCTGACATTCTTACTCACTCAGGCCCGCAGCTGCAACCTGTTGACTCCTGTTTTACTCTTTGTTGAACATGGAAATGTGTTCATTTTTGCCCTCCAGGGCAGAAAATAATATCTTGGAATGTGCAAAAAAGATAAGGCACTATATATTAAGTTCTACTGTGGCCTCCACATTGATGATGGGTACCACGAAAAATATAACAAAATGTAAGGCATGCTCACGCCCTCCAGAGAGTTTATAATTTAGAGAAACATGCCACAACACTTAAAAGCCAAGATAATATATGAGAGAAATAAGTCCATCAAAAATGGACATCTCAAGGGAAGTTATGAATGAGAGCCAACAGAGTGGCACGGTGTATGTAGTAGACTGGAAGTAAGGGCTAGTATGGCATGACAGGGGCTGGAGCTGGCTTATGTTAGGTAGTTTTCAGCTGCAAAAAAAAAAAAAAAACCCAGAAGAGCAACCCAAAATATCTTAAGGGGTAAGAATATCTGTTATTTCACATAACAGCAAACCTGGAGCTCAGAAGTTCATGCAGGGGCCCAGCTGGTCCCCTGTGGGTCCCAGTTGGCTCCCACAGTTCCAAGTACCTCAACGACTTAGAGCAGCATAAGAAAACTTTCTCCCGAGACCCTCCCAACTGGCTTCCTCACATGTCTCTTGGCCAGATTGTCACATATCTGGGCCTACGCCAATCCCTGGCAAAGGGAAGGGCATTACCAGGCCGGTCATGGTGGCTCACGACTGTAATCCCAGCACCTTGGGAGGCTGAGGTGGGTGGATCACTTGAGGTCAGAATTTCAAGACCAGCCTGACCAACGTGGTAAAACCCCGTCTTTAAAAAAAAAAAAAGGAAGGGCATTACCAAGATTGGTTTCAACTTAAGATTCACTCCTAGGGCTGGGGCTAGGGAAGGGCCTTTCGCTGAGTACACAGGTAGGATAGGAGTGTACATTCTAATAAACGGGGTTTCTTCCAGCAAGGGAGGTGAGATGCATTTAGAAAGGCAACCAGGCCAGGCGTGGTGGCTCACACCTGTAATCTCAGCTACTCAGGAGGCTGAGGTGGGAGGATCAGTTGATCCTGTGAGTTCAAGGTTACTGTGAGCTATGATGGCACCACTACTCTCCAGCCTGGGTGTAATAAACAAAGACCCCATCTTTGTTTATTTTTTTTTAAAGCAATCAACAGTGTCTACTCTATAGGTAGTGCTGGGAAGAAAAAAGGAAGGATTTGGTAACAAAATAGCATCCTGGACTCTGAAACAGATCTCCTGGGTTCAAACCCATGTCCTGTCATTTAATGACCTGAGCAAATAAGGAAACATCACAATGCCTTAGTTGCCTCATCTCTGAAATGTGATAATAATGGTTCCTACCCAGACCATAAATTTCATGGGCACAGGGTCTTGCTCACTGAGTTCTCCCCAGCACCTAGCAGAAAGCATTATACCTAGCAGGTACTTGGTAGATACTTGTTGAATGGGTTAGTTAATTCTAATGTGAGGATTAAGTGAGATAGTGTATTAGGGTTCAGCACAGTGCCTAAAGTATGTGCTCAAAAAAGTCATTTCACTGCAGGCTTTGTAGAGACCTTGGGACCTCTACATCAGTGGTCCCCATCCTTTTTGGCACCTTTGGGACCGGTTTCATGGAAGACAATTTTTCCACAGATGGGGGATGGTTTCGTGGTAAAACTAGATTTTCAACCCGGATCCCTCACATGTCCAGTTCACAATAGGGCTCGCTTGCCTATGAGAATCTAATGATACAGGCAAGCGAGCCCTCTGAGTATCAGGAGGCAGTGCTCAGGCAGTAATGCTTGCTTGCCTGCCGCTCACCTGTGTGGCCCAGTTCCTAACAGGCCATGGACCGGTGCCAGTCTGCAGCCCAGGGGTTGGAGACCCTGCTCTGTATGTGTCTTTCAGTTCTTTTGCACTGCCTGTGCTGCCAGGTCAGGGTCTGCAGGGTTGACCCTTTCACTGACAAAAGACTTTTATTTTTGGTCCTATCCCTAGTGAAGTCCCAGTCGGTCTTTGGTAGTCCCCCCCTTTTCCTGCTCTGACAGAGACAGACCAGCCCCTCTTATAGGGGCTGCTCCTGGGAAAGGCTCATCCATAGGCTAGGCCTCTGCCGGGCCTGCTGCCAGACACTGAGCCTCTGGAGATTGAGAGCTGACACCCCACTGAGGTGTAGGGCTGCATCCAGTCAGCACAGAGGGAGGCATATCCCTTGTAGCAGTACCCACAGCTCCTGTCACAGCAGGCTGTGGCCAGACCCTGGAGTGGCTCCCTCTCAGCCATCTGTTCAGTCACCCAGAAACAGCTCCCAGTGAGTTCCTGCCTCAGTCACGTGGTGTCACACAGAAAGCCAGGGCATTGCCACTTCCTAATTTGAGACAAGATATGTAAACACGTTGAGCCTCAGACTCCTTATCTGTAGAACTTGGGGTAATGATACCTACTTCATGGTGTTTTGAGGATTGCATGGAATCACAGATGGAAAGAGCCTAGCTGTACTATGCCTGACACATTGGAGACTTTACATAAAAGGGTTTTCAGCTGCTGCCACCCCCACCTTTGAAACCAAGTATTTTCACAATTCCATACACCTGGTCCTGGAAAAAAGCACTCCATTCCCCATTCACTTACTTGAAAAACCTTATTTTTTTTTTTTGTCCCCAAGAGAGGGTCTTGCTCTGTTGCCCAGGCTGGAGCGCAGTGGTGCAATCTTAGCTCACTGCAGCCTCAACCTCCCAAGTAGCTGGGACTACAGATGTGCACCACCATGCCTGGTGAATTTTGTTTATTTTATGAGATGAGTTCTCGCTGTAGCCCAGGCTGGTCTCGAATTCCTGAACTGAAGCGATCCGCTGGCCTCAGCTTCCCAAAGTGCCAGGATTAAGGTGTGAGCCACCATACCTGGCCTGAAAGAAAGCCTTTTCTCCTGAGGGAAAACTGTTCTGGAAGTCAACAGCAGAGTCCCTTGCCAGGGCCACTTCTAATCCTGATGAGATTCTGGCCTGTACTCCCTTCCCTCATATTTTGTATAGTATTGTGATTAGAGATTGGGTAAAAAGGGAAGACCTTGCCAAATGGTGCCCACCTGCTACCCTTTCCGGCTGTCTGCTGACATTGCTCACTTGTGTTGAGTCTCATCACTGACTGTGCCTGCCCTTGGCCCCTGCCAGCATCCTCCACACACCTTGCCGACAGGAGGACAGCGGGAGCAGGGCCACAGGAGAGGGCACACAAGAGACCTAGAGCATCCCTATCTGACAAGGCCCTGAAACTTCCCTCCCACTGAGGATCTCAGGACTTGACCTAGTTATCCCCCAGTTTGCTGCCAATACTTTAGGAGCAGGCAGGTGTCCAGATAATGTCTGTTCCTCTGTGCCCACCCTGCCAGGGAAACAGCTTGGGAAAAATCTCTTGAAGGTGGGGTCCCTGCTTCTGGCCTAGCTCTCCTGGAGGCCCAGGGCTGTCAGGTGCTACCAAGGTAAGGCCAGCTCTGGAGTGTGGGACATACAGGCCTCCAGTGGCAACACCTGCTCATTAATCAAGCCCTTCCTTTCCCGAACCTGCCCTGGCTTGGGATGGTGGGAAGGGAGGAGGGCAGAATCTTTTCCTCCCTTCCTGGCCCTATGGTGAGAGGCGCTGACTAGTGTGGGCGGGTGGAGACAGGCCCATCAGAAGGCCTGAGTGAGGCACCCTCTGTACATGCAGTACAAGCAGGTGGGGAGTGCGGGGAGTAATCTAAGGATCTAGAAACATTTGACAGCAAAGGAATTTTACCCGCTGGAGCCCTAGGCTTTGTTTCTAAAAGTTTTTATTATTCTTTGGAAAAACTTGGAAGCACTGGTTTATGAAAATGTTTAGCACTTCATTGCTACATGGCCTTTCCAAACACATCCCCAGATGTTTTTTTTAAAACCATGCAGTGGGTCAAGGTTGATACAGGCAGTTGTTCCAGCTGAGTCCAACTCACCAAAATGGTGCAGGTGAGGCAAATTACTTTTGAGGCTGCAAGTACTGTATATGTCCATTAACAAAAACACAGTAAAGTAAAAGACTTTAAGAAATTGCAAGGACACTGGCTTGGCTGATTCCTGCTGCTGCAAATTCCTGGAAGCCAAAATTCAAAGGCAGAAACGTCTCTGGTGACAGCACCACCACTGCCTTTGACCAAATTGTAGATCTGTCACACTCAGGGCTTGCTGCTAGCATGGGCCTGCCATTGGCAGCAAGGGGAACTCCATGGGCCTGTGAGGAGAAACAGCTGAGTTCCTGACTTTAATTTTCTGGGAGGCTTACCTGAGTCACCTAATCTCTTGGGGCTGTGGTTTTCTCACCTGTAGAAGGAGGGGCGGGGCTGATATCCCTAGAGTCCTTTTCAGCTCTGGGATTCACGCATTCTAAGGAAGGTGGCTAGGGTATAGAACCTCTAAAAATGTGTATTGATTCCTTCAACAAAGTTTCAATGAGCACCTGCCTTGTGCCAGAAACCCACCACTGGCCCAGAAACCCAAGCATCTGCCGGCCTGCCTCCTGCAGCTGCAGCAACCTTTGCAAGCCAGCAGAGCCCCGCTTTCTACAGCCTGTGGAAACAATGGTTCTAAATTTGCAGATCTTCTCATCAAGACAGGAAGTCATGAAACATGATAGAATAGAGGAACTGGTCTCAGTTTGCACATGCCATCAGTTTCACAAGACAGGAATCAACGATGGCCAATTATCACACTCAGGAACTGAAAATGATTAGAAAAAGTGGCAAAGATGCTATGGCAACCATTGGCTGGTGTTTGGCCTCCAGCACTCATTCCCCTTTGCTTTAGTGACAGCACCCTAACTTTCCTCCCTGCATCATGTGGTAACGGAAGCATTGTCTCCAGGACACCCTGCCTGAGAGACAGGCATATGAGCCAGCCAATCAGATTCCTTCCCTGCAGGGATGCACTGGGTGGACAGCATGGTGGTAGCACCTCTCGCCCAGGTGGGGGTGATCTGTGGGACTGGAGTCAGTCCTGTCACTGAGAAGACCCCAGGATGGGCGTAGCTCCTGTCCTGGACTTGATTTTCCAGGCTGGTAGTTAGAGAACAGGACTGATGCAGATTCAGGGGAGGTGTTTTTTTTGTTCTCAGTTCCTTTCTTGAAATGACTATTATCTCTGCTAGCTACTGTAGCAAAAATCTGGAAAACATGATGTTTCTTGATTTATGACATTGTTGCTGTTACTTCAGGAATTTCTGCCTGCTTCTCATAAGCCAGCAGAAACTCAGAAATGTTACATTTCTTAAAGAGTCATTGTAATTATTATCTGAATGAGATGATAATGTTTTGAATTTAACGTAATAAACTCTATCTCCTGCCTTAGCACCTTCACATCTTCATGTTGCCCCTCCCTTTAAGACAACATTTCTGAAACTTTGAAATACACGAGGGAAGAAAAAGTGTTTTCTGTATCTCCACATCACCTTAAAGTGGAATTTATGAAGAAAAATGTTCAAATATATAAATTTTAAGTCCTCTCCTTGAGTTTCTATTATTAGGTTTTTGTTTTGTTTTGAGACTGAGTCTCACTCTGTTGCCCAGGCTGCAGTGGCACAGTTTGCTCACTGCAACCTCTGCCTCCCGAGTTCAGATGATTCTCCCTGCCTCAGCCTCCCAAGTAGCTGAGATTACAGGTGTCCACCACCATGCCGGCTAATTTTTGTATTTTTAGTAGAGACAGGTTTCACCATGTTGGCCAGGGTGGTCTGGAACTCCTGACCTCAGGTGATCCACCCACCTCGGCCTCCCAAAGTGCTGGGATTACAGGCGTGAGCCACTGCACCCTGCCTATTTATTAGTTTTAAAAACATACATTCCTTTGGTTTTAATTTTGTATTGTTTAAATACATGTTCACTGAAACAATGCAAGAGTGTAAAAAGTCCAAATTGAAAGACCCCTCTCACCACTCCTATTTCCAAGGATTACCACACTGATAGTTTGTGGTTAAACATACAAATATAGAAATAACTTTAAATAAAAAACGTATATGAGATTATGCCATCTCATATTTTCAGGTTAACATTGTTCAACCTGGTCTTTTCTCTCAACTGTCGTGATCATCCTTCCTCATACATACAGATGACCAAACTCATATTTTAAGGCTGCAGATATTTCATTGCATAGGGATGTACCATCCTATATTAATCCACCCCCCCAATTAATCTGCCTAATTGATATATATTTTGGTGGCTTCTGATTCCAGTTTTTGCAGGTACAAACAGTGCTACAGTGAATATTCTTTTTTTTTTTTTTTTTTGAGATGGAGTTTTACCCTTGTTACCCAGGCTGGAGTGCAATGGCACAATCTCAGCTTGCCTCCCAGGTTCAAGTTATTCTCCTGCCTCAGCCTCCTAAGTAACTGGGATTACAGGCATGCGCCACTAAGCCTGACTAATTTTGTATTTTTAGTACAGATGGGGTTTCTCCATGTTGGTCAGGTTGGTCTTGAACTCCCAACCTCAGGTGATCCGCCTGCCTCAGCCTCCCAAAGTGCTGGGATACAGGTGTGAGCCACCGTGCCCAGCCCAGTAAATATCCTTATACAAATATCTTCAGGCTGATGTACAACTATTTCTTAACTTGGGTTCCTAGAAGGGCATTTGCTGGATCAAGTACATACACATTTTGAAATTTTGGTCAAGACTATAAAACTGCCCTCCCAAGAAGACTGTACCAACTCACTCTCTCACCTGCCATATTTTTCCCCCCTGCGTGATGACAGGGAGTGGCATATCCCTTTTGTTTTAGTTTGCGTTTCCTGGATTATTTGTTAGTGAGAGAGAGCAGAAGTGGATTATTTATAACTAAGTTTACACACAAAATTACCTGGAGATACAAAAAGAAAAATACCAAGTTCTTCTCTAAAAGAAACTGATAACCTAGTTAAAGGGAAAATGTTACATGTCGACCACAAATTGAAGTTCTTATATTTAGTGCCAAGACATCTAACACTGCGTTCAGTCAAGATGTCGATGCATGCAGCTTGAGACCTTTGCACAGAAGGTGTCTGGGGTCATGGTTTGTGAAGATTAACCTGCCACCAGTGGGTGGGTGGATAAAAACTAATGTTTATTGGGATCAAGATGAGCAGTCTCTGTGCCTGAAGCTTTTTTCATTTAATTCCCACAGCCCTGTGAGGCAGGTGAAATCATCCCCATTTTAAAGATGAGAAAATTGAGGTTCAATTGGTTCAATAGCATGCAAAAGCACTCAAACTGATGAACAGTGCAGCTGAGATGCGAACTCAAGACTGAAAACTCAGAGTCTGGGTTTTTAACCAAATACCACAGGGCTTCACTACAGAAGAAAGTTGGAGTTTTCAAAAATAAAATGTAGAGCTGAGTGCCACCTTGGATACAAAGGACTGGGGAAGAGTCAAGAACTCTCAGGCTTCCCTCTGGCTGTCAGTAGCAGTAGGTCCTGGCAGTGGGAGCTGGGCCATCAGAGGTGGTGCCTCAAGTGGGGCAGGCACAAAATGGATTCTGGGGTGAGCCACAGAAAAAAAGAGATTTTCACGGGAGTGGTGGCTGAGTGTGGAGAGATAAGAGCAGGGGACCAGGCCTGGAGCCTGGGCAGCCCACGATTGGACACTAGGAGAAGAAAAGGAGCCAGTGAAGGAGACACTGAGGCTAGGGGTGGGGATGGCACTGGGAAGGTTGGGCTCCACCTGGCACTCTGGGGAGCTGCTGGCAGGGGGGCACCCAGAGTGCTCAAGCTGCCTTACCAGCAAATGCCTCTTTCTGACCAGGGGCCGTGAAATAAAGGGCCGCGGATAAGTAACTGGTTTCTGGTCCCTGCCAACCCAGGAAGCCAGCGCCCACCCTGCCTCATATGCCCTGCCTGCTACGCTCAGCCTTCCAACCAAACCAGCTGAGACCAGCACCTGCCAGGTCTGAATCCGCAGCTCCAAGTTCTGGGGGGCAGGGGTGGGGGTCAGCCAAGGAGGTCTGATTTCTTGGGGTCAAGAGTAGGGAGGACAGCAGGGAGGCTCACCCTGAGCCCGGCAGGCAGCCCTTCCTCCTCCTCCCTTTCAGCAAAGAAAGGCAGAGAAAAACGTGTTTTTATAAATAGCTCCAGCCCCAGCTGATTTGTAAATTCAGTGGGGTTTTTTGTGTCAATGACATCACCTTCCTCCCCATGGCAACCCCCGACGATATCAAAATTGCCAAGCAACGTTGGAGCAGCTCGGCGCCCCAAACCGAGCAGGTCGATGCCTGAGGATTTAATGAAGAAATCCCAAAGTGAGCCGGGGCGAACTGTGGAGGAGGGGCGCGCCGCGGCCGGAGCCGCCGGGCCCTGATGGGCGGGAGCGGGGTGGAGCGGCAGCGCCTGCCACGCAGCCCTGGGCGCTGGGCTCCGTGGCCGCGCTCCCGAGACAGCCGCGGGTCCAGGCAGGTGGGGGAGGGCGCTGCTCCCGTTCCGAGGTGCCAGGAGCCACCAGCAGCCATCCAGGTGACTAAGCCGGCCCACAGGCATTGAGTCACCACCCGCCCCGAGCTGTTCCTGCTTCTCCTTTGCATCTGATTATTTTGGGAGCTGGAAACTTGGAGCTGCACCTGAGTCCCGCCCTTCTAGCTCCCCCCTCCCTACCTTGGGCTCCAGGAAGATGGGACGTGCTGTGAGTCTGCTCCCACCCCCTAAAGATATGGAAGATACTGTGGGGGCCAGAGGTGCCCACAAGGCTGTGGCAGCAGGCAGAGTGCAGTAGCAGACATGGTGGTCAGGCTGCCGGTGTGTGTCCTCTGGAGGTGTCGGGACAGAAGGGCGGTCTTGTCCGAGCTGACTGGAGTCCTTCCGGGCTGGCTCTGAACTCATCTCCCACGGGGATGTTTCTGTAAAGGAGTGGCTTCTGAGGTCGGAGTGGCATTTGGAGAGCGAGGCTGGATTGGCTTAGGCTGGCCTGGGCAGGTAGGTGGCTCCGTGCTGGGCGTGGACCCACGTGTGTGAGTGCGAGAGCGTGTAAGCTGGGGTGTGTGCCATCGCTCTGCTGGGGCAGCAGCTGGGTCCAGCAGAGAGCTGGCTGGAGGCTTGACAGCAGTTTATCCTAATTGATGATGGGTGGGCGCAGGCCCTGAGATGGGCGTCAGGGAGAGGGGACGCCAGACACACGGCCTGAGCAGGGTGAGGAGCAGCTGCCAGCCCCGGCAGGCCCAGGCCCTGTCTGGGTGCACAGGACAGAGACACAGCAAGATGCCCAGGTAGGAAGCTGTCTGGAGGGGCTGGCCAAGGGTGGGAGCCCATCATCCGGGGCTGGACAGACCATCAGCTGCCCCCTCATTCTGGCAGGCCTGTGTACCAAGGAAACAGCTTCCTACCGAGAACCTTGTCACACTCTCCCATGCAGGGCCAGGCAGCACCCATGTGCATCTCTGCTGAGCTCACAGGGACACATTCAGTGAGAAGGGCGCTGGCCAGGGCACGGCTTCCCACAGTCGGGACCCAGCAGGTGTCACCCTCAAGCCCCTGGTCCCCACAGGGCAAGCCCCAGTGTGTGTCAGGAGGAGGGGGGAGGTCCCACCTCCCCCACACAGCTGGCAGCTTTGCGGGCACACCGGTGAGTAAGCTGCTGGAGGGAGGGGAGCTGTGTGCCCACAGAGGCAGGACCACACCAACCAGGAGCCTTCAGGAAAAGAGGCTGGGAGAGAAAAGCACTGAGGTTTTCTTTTCCTTTTTTTTTTTTCTTCTATTTTGCCTGAAGGGAGTGCCACTTCCTGGGCTAGAGACAAGCACCAGCCTGCAGTGGAGAACGCGGGGCCCCGCTGCCCAGAAGCAGCAGCCACGGTAAGGTCCCCACTGCCGCTGTGTGTTCAGGCTTCCTGGGTGAGGGACAGGGGTGCCCAGGTGTCCAGGCCGCCCCCCATCTGGTACAGGGAGGCTAACTCCACAGCTGCGGGTTCCTGGGTCAAGGAGCTCCATCCCCACCCAACCTGCACCCCTTTTCCAGATTGACTGTGAAACAGTCCAATGCCAGCTGGACTCTGGCTCCCTAGCTAGAGGGAGAGATACTTGTATCTGCCGTTCCTGCAGGTACTTCCTGAGCCTTCTGGGCAAAGCCAGTGCCACCAGGACACCCCTCTACAAGCCCCCCCTCACCTTACAGCCTCAGGGATATTTCCCTCGCGTATTCATTCCACAAATACTTAGCACGCACTGCTGGGTCCCAGGCTCCAAGTCACACCTTTTTGCTGGGCATGACCTGGCACAGATTCTGACTCTGAAACTAAGCATCAGGGCAGGTTCAGGGAGCTGCCTGGCCAAGCATAGTCACTTCTCACAGGCCTTGGGCTGCCCACCTCTGCTGCAGGGAGGATAACCTGGTCAGCTTCAGGGACATTGGGCCCAGTGAGCTTGGGTCTATAAAGCACTGGGCCCACCAGAAAGAAGGCTAATGTCCTGCAGCCTCCAGTTGTCCTTTCCCTGGCATTGTACACCAACAGGTTGATGCAGTTCTGCTTGGGGTCTTCCTGAGGCTGGTTCTGGTGGGAACTGGGCTGCAGGAGGAGAGGATGAGTTTAGGGGCTGTTGGGCCTGGGATTCAGCCCCGTGCGAGCTCATCTAGCTGGGGTTGAGGCCTTTGCGCCAGGCAAGGGATCCCCTCTGCAGGCAGGCTTTCCTGGCAGTTGTCCCAGTCCAAGGCTTGGAGGTGGCACCTGGGAGCCCTAGTGACCAGAGGACCTGGTCCAGAAAGGGTCGGCACCAGAAGAAACCCTTCTGGGAGCATCTGATTTGGCTGAAAGCTCTGTGCACCTGAGCATGGGTTGTGGGGACTGCACGGCCGGCCCAGTGCCCTGAGGACAAACTGAAGCTCTGTGAGCACTCTGGGCCCTCCTGGACTTGCCAGGCACAGGAAGGGTGGAGAGGGTGAGGTCTCCAGCCAAGGACACCCCTCTCTGTCCACAACACCTAAGGATGACCAAAAAGTCCCCCACCCTGGAGGAGCACACGGGCTGAGTCAGGAGGAACCCATAGAGTCTCTCGTGCTAATGAATTCCCATACTTGGCTCCAGATGAGAATGACCCAGCTGTGGGGTACCTCCTGCTTCCTCACAAAAGGCGACTCTGTCCCTGGGAGTCTTCCGTGTTTGCAGAGCTGAGCAGGGGCTGCTGCCCAACTGGGGACAGATGGGCGAGGGTGTCAAGCACCAGGCAGACAGCAGGCTAGCAACAGGCAGCAGGCAAGGCCAGGAGGGAGCAGACAGCAGGGCCCAGGGCAGGCTAAGCAGGACAGGAAAAGGCTGCCTGGAGTCCTGAGGGCTCAGGGAGGACTCCAGACAGCTGGCCTTCTTATGCCAGCCCGCATCTGTGGGAGAGGCCCTCTGCACAGGGGACTGGGCAGGGAAGAGGCTGAGACACAAAGACTGCATTCCTCACCCAAATGGCCCAGAGATGCCTACCACACACAGTGTCCTGGGTGCAGAAGGCAGCAAGGACCCACAGGAGGCTGTCCTGTGGCCTGAAGCAGAGTCCTTCCTCTAAGATGCTCTCTCTGCCCTGAGCAGGAA